AGAAACTCTTCGTTTTGGATTGACTTCCCTTTCTTCTTCTTCTTCTTGCTCTTGTTCTAGTTCTTTTAAATCTTCTGGCTCTAGTAGGTCTTCTGGCTTTAGTTTCCTGGACGACCTCCGGTTCTGTTCGGCCCACTTCTTGGCCCAGTCGGCGGGCGATGCTCTTGTCGATAATAATGATCCCAGTGCACTGACAGTCTTGTTGTTGTTGTTGGTGTTGTTGTTATTGTTACCACTGGCCCACTGGTTGGCCCAATCCGGCGCGGCGCCTGTTCCTCCGAGTGCACTCTTGTTGTTGTTTTTGGGTTGTGGTCCATTGGTGTTGCCATTGGCCCACTTCATGGCCCAATCGGGCAGTGATGCTTGTCGTTCCCGTTCGGCATGGTCACTTGTCTTGCCCAGTGGTTGTTGTCCTCCAACAGCAGCTCCACCACCACTGGCCCACTGCGTGGCCCATGTGGGTACCGACTGCTGTCGTCGCCCCGAGGAATCGTCCTTGTCCAGGGGATTATGGGTTGACGTACCGGTAAGTGGTGGCAAGGCAGATGTACTACTGGCCCATTTGGTGGCCCAATCCGGTGTCGTTTCTGGCACGGACGTTAATTGACTTGCCTCTGATTCATCGAGCAATTTCCGCAGTTGTTCTTGACGTTTCTTGTTGAGCTTGCTAGCCTTTTCGGCATCGACCGAAATTTGTCTTCGTTCCGCCAACGACACGCGTCGACTGGGTTTCTGCGAGGGTGAAAGTGGAATGGGCAACTTGGAATGGGTCGACAAATCGGGAAGATCATCATCCTCGTCGTCATCCGTGATGGATCCCAACGATCGGGACGGTTGTGGTGTATGTCGTTCGGACTGTTTCTTGAGGAATTCGGCTTCCATGCGAGCGGCTTGAGCTTCCTTTCGTGCCGCGTCGGCTTCGAGTCGCAGCGCATCTGATTCCAATCGTGTCGCTCTTGCCTCGAGACGAGTAGCTTCGGCGTCTTTACGAGCGGCTTGCGCTTCTTTACGTGCCGCTTCGGCGTCCAATTTGACGGCGTCAATTTCCTTTTGGGCCACGTCCGTTTCGCGTCGTCGATCGGCCCGGGAAACACGTCGTCCCATGTTGGGTTTCACCACGGCAGCCTTGTTGTGGTTGTGGTTGTGGCTGTTGTGGCTGTTGTTTAGGATGTTTTTATTGCCACTCTTCCTTCGGGGTGAAGTAGTAGTAGTAGACTGAGGTGCTGGTGGTGGTGGTGATTGGCTCTTTCGCTCGTTTCGTTTTTGTTTTTCTTCTTGTTTTTTGGTCCACGAACTTCGTCTCTTGTACGACAGATTGGAACCATTGCTCGTATTGGAACCGCCGGTATCTGTTCGTTGGGGACTTAGGTTGCGCTCCTTTTGTTGGCTGTTATCCTTGAGACTCCTGTCTTTGGGAAGCCACGGCATGGGAATTCCCCCGTCCCCACTCAAATTGCCGTCGCTTTCTTCCAACTGAGGTTGTTGTTGTTGTTGTGTTGGTTGACACAGGCGTCCACTCGAAGACCGTTTCTCGCACCGTCGTCCGGGACACCCACACGGCCCCTTGCATTTGGCATCGGCGAAGGTTGCGGTCTCGCAAGAACTGTCACTTGGGTCATCCGCCATATTCGATCGTCGCGGAGACAACCGTTCGTCCCGGGGATTGCTTCGGTCCTTGATGAACCGATTCGAGGGGGGCGTACCATCGGCACGCCGCTTGGAATAGTCCACTAGTAACACCATGGTCGGTTGTTATCACAAAAAGAAAAATAATGGGTAGGCTACCCCAAGAAAAAAAATTGTGGGAAAAAACTAATGATAGATCTGCTTGGATCGAGAAACAGACGAGAAGGAGCCAAAATAACCAACGGCGAAAACCGATGACCACTGTTTGATAACTAACTATACAAAAAATAGTAATCGAGCCAGTACCATTTTTGAGCGTGACGTCTTCTACGCGTGTGCAGTACTGGTACACTTAGCACTTCGTAAGAGGTTCGTCTGGTGATCTCAATGACCATCATCCAATGACCTTCAAAATGTCCACGATCTCATTATTAATAGGAGTTATGAAGTCGTAGACAAAAGCTCTCGGATGGGGGAAACAAGGCTCCTATGGCGATACAGCTGCGATTCGAAGGTTCAAGGTGGACTAAACAGACGCTCATCGGTGAGGAAACTCATGCTAGCCGAAGACTTATCGTAATCTCCAAGGCGGCAAACAACAAGCCATTTCATTGGCCACTCATCGAGCAACTGATCCAAGTTTCAGCATGTTCGTTCTTGCCGGTACCCAATGAAAGGAGCACATGAGGTTAAGATAAAATCTAAAATCTACACCAACACATCGTGCGAATCCAATCATATCCCGGACATGGGAGATGTTTGGTGTAGCTCCTCGCCCCCGTAACGCATCACACCAGGCGCTTGGTGTGTGAATGATTCAATCAACTGGGTTTGCATGCTACGGTACCGGTATGAGCCAGCCTTGTTGGGAACACCTCGGTTCAAAGATAGATAAACTGGGAAACGGTTCCAAGAGATCTTGGCCTTCTTACCCAAGAGATAGATGTACTTTCCTTCCTTTAGGTACTCGGGCCGTTTCCTGTAATTCAGCTCTCCACTTCTCATGCAGAGTATGTATGTAGCTTTTGCCTCGCTCCTCCATTCAAAGAAAGAGAAACATCGCCCTGGGAGGGTCCAGCTGGCTTCTGATTCTTCGTTTAGTACTAGTAAGCAACAGGCAGTTATGCATAGACAATCGTTGCCTGGGCGGGTTTTGTTCTTCAGTGCTTCGATTCGATTCCAGGAAAGCTCCAACTCCGCACCTCTCGTCCTGTGAGCTGCGTTTTACTAGTACTTGCTTCTTGGCAAGTCTCTGTGCTCGATCGAGATTGATTCGCTCCCTACTCGAGGATCTTGGTTGCCTGAGCTGCCTGCCTTGCATCGCCAAGTCCAGCTGGAAAGTTGATACAAAGCAAACAACCTGCAAATCCATATGTCAAGGCTTTCTGACCAGTTCCACTTTTGCCTCGACATTTATTTTGGGTTCGACCGTTCCACCTCATTCTACATTCCCTGCCTAAGAAGCAAGCAATCCATTCCAAGGAACAAGTTCCAAGGGGCAGCCTGTCCTGGACGTTTTCGAAAAGTTCAAAGCAAGCAACATGCAACATGCATGCAACATGCTGCAACGCAACAAGAAGAAACTGGTCCCTGCAAGGCTTCTAGTTCTTGCTTGTTCACTGCTTTCTTTTTTGCTTGCGGCTGGTGATATTATGATGATATTGAGTCTTGATCTTGACAAATTTGTTGCTCATACAATGTTCATCTCAACGCTTCAACCCGAGCCTGGAGCGAGGTTCATCTTGGCTTACAGTGTCGCTCAGCAGCATTAAAGCCCCAGGCAGCATGGAGGTTGATTCCCTTTGAGGAGTTCAAGAAGACATGGAGTGAGATTGGCGGCGTGATCATGCGCCAAGAAAGTGAAGCCCTTCACCTCAGGAGCACAAGATCTAATTTTGACCTGGGTTGAGTTCCAGGTTTGGCTCTCTGACCTGTACATCTGGGATCAAAGGACCTGGATGACAAAGGACAGTAGACTATGTAGGAAAGAGCCAAGGGTGTGGGTGGAGCTCAGCCCCGGCGGTAGGGACGCAAATCAAATCACGAGTGTGACGGTTAGAGCTGTATTTGGATCTTTGCACCAGTTCGCAAAATACGCGATGCCAATCCAAATCAAAGAAAGATCCAAGACAGAAGAAGCGTTCCCTGAATAGAAGATCTATCCGAGCAAGCTTTGATCATGCACTGATCATTCACAGAGCATAGAAGATACTAGCCAGTAGAAACAATACCTTCATAAAACAACCGAACCGATATTAATTGAGAATTATTGAAGATGTCGATGTCAACGAACCTTGCGCTTGGCGCTGGCTGCTACTGGGGAACAGAGAAGTATATCGTGAAAGGTGAGTCTTCTTGCATGTATCCTTCTTCCATTTTCCATTATCGATTGGACTGATGTTGACACTTCTTCTTTTTCCTTCCTTTCCTTGATTTGTTTGTAATAGACTTCCAGAAGAGGTTTCCCAACAGCATTGCAAGTGCGAGTGTTGGCTTTATGAGTCCCCATGACACCGCCAAGGCGAATCCGTCGTACCGCGAAGTGTGCAGTGGCACTACCGGTCATGTGGAAGTGCTGAACGTCGAGTTGAACGACCCTGCGGCGCATTACGAAGAATTAATCAAATTCTTTTTCATGTTTCACGATCCCACCACTTTGAATCGTCAAGGCAACGATGCCGGCACGCAGTACGCCTCGGCCATTTTTTGTTCCGACGACCAGCAGCTCAAAATTGCCAATAAAGTCAAGGCCGAGCTCCAAAGCTTGATTGACGCCAAAAAGGTGACTAGCTATTCGTCTCCCAAAGTGGAAACGGGAGTTGTCCCCTATACCGTCTTTTATCCCGCCCACGAAGAACATCAGCAGTATTTGGAGAAAAATCCGTCGGGATACTGCAACCACCGATACCGATTCCGGGAATGGCCTAATTGACTAGGAACTGCTGAAGAACAGCAACAACAAAAGTCCAACAAACCTAACTGTTGTTGTCTGCTGTAAAAAAGAGAAAGAAAAGTAGAAGAAAACTGTTGACGCAATCCACTTGTCTATGTGAATGTTATGCTTGGTCTGTCTCCCTCTGGCAGGTTGCTCTCATGGGTAGACCTGTCACAGCAATCAATCAATCAATAAGCAACAATTTTCTTTGTATTAGTGCCAAAGTATTATCTCATCTTCGCGACTACATGTATATCATACTTCGCTATATGCTCTGTAATCGTTCTGTGAGTTGGCACCCCAGACGTCAAGGAATGAAATGGTTGATGGGCCATCCTTTGGGGAAAGCAATTTCTGTCAAAGGAGGTCTGTGACTGCTGGTACTGTACTCGTCAGTTTTCTGCAATGACGAAAGCATTGATGCGTCCCGGAAAGACGACAAAAGGCATAGAAACTACTCTAAGTGAATGGCTAGTTCCTGCATGGCTACTATGGTGCAACTTCTCTACCATTGGCTGTTGTAGAACTGGTACTAGGAGTGTCTTGAGGCAACAAGACACATGCATGTTTCTCTCCCGTCGAGGCTACGTCCAGTACTAAAATGTGCAAATGCCACGAATAGGCACCTGGCTGAAGCCCTGACAGCACGGCGGAATCCGGTATGGTCTCACAAGGATCTGCAAAGCGATCCCCAAAGACCCCCTGACACTGCACTTGACAAGATGATGTATTGTCTTCTTCTGATAGCAACACTAGCGAGGATTGACCCGGTTTCAGTTCGTAGATTGAAATGGGTCTTCGCAGGACATTGGAGAGCACGGTCAGTTCGGGTCCTCCTCCATACAATCCTCCCTCCCGTCCTTCCAGTTGCAACTTGGACAAATAGTCCTGGGGAGACAATCCTTCTTGTCGTGCCGCCGACACTAACAAATCTCTCGCCGGGACTATTCGATTGCCGTCAATGTTCAAATTGCCGTCCGGGCTCTGCAAGATTTGGGCCACCACGGCGCGGGTTTCTCGTGAAATGGCACGGAGCAGGACATCATTGCCCCCCAGACCCATTGATGTCAACGAGGCCAATACCACTGCTTGGAACATGCAATCGCCCGTGCCAGGAACGTTGCGCATGGTAAATGTTCTTGTCAATTTTGCTTCTCCTTCGGCAGAGTTGTCGTTGTCCAATTCTTCCAAGAAATAGGTTGGTTGAATGCAAACACCGTTGGCTTCAAATTGAAACTGTTCGAAAGAAAGTGCTTCTGCGGGAGTGGTACGCCGAGGAGATGGCTGCGGAGACGAAAGACCGTTGGATTCGTCAGACAAGCATGAGACCAACACAAACAAGAGAATCGAGTGTCGCCTCCAAGCACTCCGCCATACAGTGTGGTTGTGACTTGTAGTAGGTCGCGTCATTGTTGTTGATTCACGGGCAAGAAAGCTGGGCAATTGCGTCACTTTTATGAAACAGGTCGAACGAGTTTCCTCTTTTTTAACATCAAGGCTCAAACACCAGGACGACACGAGACCCTTTTGTAATGTTCCGCTGCGGCCATCGAAGCAGATGGCTGTTATGGGTGTGCTCATACAGTATTATTATGCTCATGGTCGAAGGCTGCAAGCTGGGAGCTGAAAGATCTTCGTTCGTCTTCTCGGAGATGGATGACGTCAGCTAATTTTACACCCATTCAGCCCGACTGCTGGATCCGTGTCTTTGATATGGTAAGACCGCCTACCGGAAATATTTCAGTAGATTTTCACAGTTGTGGATACGTGGTATGATACCGGTATCCTAGCTAGAGCCAGATAGTAGTCCTGTTGTTGCCAGGTTCCATTCGAGATGAGAAAGAAAAGCGCGAAGTACGGTACTGGTTGAGGCCCATACTTTTGTGAAGGGCAAATATTGGAATCGTGTTGGCACAATCCTCAGCACGCTGCTAGGCAGGATGCACATCCAACATGATGGTTGACGTCAAGAGTTCTCGATGATGAGTGGTTCGTATCGTAAGGGTTGGTAGCGAGAAGGTGACTGCTTGCTTGCTACGGTAGGTTAGCCCCCAGCGAGGCGTCCTTTGACCTCCACCGATCGCGGCAGGAATCAAACCGGGAGTGGGTGGGAGTCGTGACGGCCAAATCGGAACTTTTTGTGCAATCCGATGAGGGCTCGAAGGTCCACCCGAAGAGGAGCTCACAAAAATCAACCACCAAAGTTCAAGCTTAGTCTGAACCTTCAAGGAACGAACAACGCCAGTACAAGAACAATCAATAAAGATGGGAGAAGACGCCGTTGACGAAGAAAACATCATCCTCTGCTGTGCCCTTTGCTGTGCCAACTGTGGTGTATACAATGATGCCGACTGGTAAGTAGCTACGGTACTTCCCAGGGACTCTTTGCTCCCGAGCACCTCGAGCGATGCATTTGTCACTCATGAGGTCGTCTCGTTTCTTCCTTCTTCTATTGAATCAGCGCCGGATGCTCTGGAAAAGTAGGCGTCTGCTGTTTGAATTGCGAAGTTTGCTTCAAATTCGGTGCTCCATGTTTGCCCTGCGGCTGCTGCGGGCCAAAGTGTGAATGTGACGGACTTTCTCTATTGAACGTGCAGCTGCAGGGCTGCTGTTTGGTTGCCTCGGCTGCATTCCCCTGTAACGAAGAAGTTCCTCTGGCGGTCAATGTTCTTGGATGCAACCTGTATCCCAAATGTGGATGCTGCACTACCGTTGGAGAAATCCAAAGTGAATCCATGTGTCGCTAACGTACCGTACCGGTGCCGGTACCTACAGGTACTGCATCACCAATTCGCAAGAATGCATAATGGTTAGCAAGTCTAAAGATGAGGACGTGGACTCGTAGTTCAACAGACAGCGATACCTATAAAGCATAAGACAAGAAACCATTGGATACTAGTAGTTGTTTTGTCCCACGCAAAACCACATAATAGTCGAGTTTAGTCAAGTCGAGTCACACTAGCTAGCCAGTGGCTTTTAAAACAAACCAGCCCATGGTTGCAATATTATTTTTGGTATTTCAGCGGAACTGCGTGCGTGCAGTCTGCGTGGCCTGCCACACCGTGTCACCGTTACAGCCTCAGGGATCCGAGGCACAATAACGCTCGTCCTCTGGAGTCCATCCACTCCACGCTAACCAAGCTAGTATAGTAACCCACCCTACACAACACAACCACAAGTATATCGCACCAGCAAACTACTACAAAGGGAGTTGAACAGCATGCCAACGTTGCCAATTCACTTCAACTACGATGGTAACGATGATGCATCCAATAATTATGATTATTTGGTTGACCTCCAGATCTCCAAGCCATGTCTGCTTTGCACACCTTGGTGGTATCCAATGCACCACTAAAGATGATCCAGTTGGTTTATGAAGCGGATCCATCTACCATGAATGATGATGTCTTCCTGGATGCATGTCGACATAGCACAGACTGTGATGTGATCGATTTTCTCAAGGAGCTTGTGGTAGAACCCAGTGTGTATTCACCAGCAAAAATCGCCAAAATCATGGTCGATGTTTTGGAGAATGACCGCAACTTTGATGGCAGTGGTTTTGTGGCCCTCTTCACAATATTTCCAGAAGCTGCATACTACAATGAGCTACCAGGTCAAGTTTCGGGCCCCTTTCATGCCGTGTTCAACAACAATGATGACATATGGGGGAGTCATCTCGGTGATGATGTCCTGTGTGACATGATACGGCACATTCCAGCTGATGCCAAGCTCATCGAAATTAGAAGCTTGGATAGAATTAGGGAAGCTGAATCGAAAACAGAGTGCAGATCTCTATTGGCAGCAAAGTTGAAAGACTTGAAAAATCTCCAAGAATTAGAAGTGCCTATTGAAGTGGGAGACGATTTGGATCAAAATCTGGTCAAAGCAATTTGCGACTTGATATCATATGGGCCATTGGAGACCCTCAGAATCAACAGCAGTGGATTTGAGGACAACATATATGAAGAGTCAGGGGGAGACAGTGGAGGGAAAGACCAACAGAGTGGGTTCTTTCTGCCAATTCTAGATGTTATTGCTGCTTCTGGGTTGAAACATTTTTCGCTGCCCGACTGTTTTCATCTTGTGGAAGGGTACCGAGATCAAATGATTGAGATCTTAGAGTGGAATACATCTTTGACTGGTGTCACCATTGGGGATGTTTTTGATTTTGACAAGACAAGTTGGAAGCATAAGAAGGCATTGAATGACAAGGCATTGATTGACGATTACACAACAATGAACGAGTATGGCAAGGGTGTGATGCGAGACCCAAAAACGGCACTGCGAGCTATTGTTGATCTGTTGGACAAGGTGACAACATCATGCTATAGAGACATTGTTATTAGCCAAAGTCGTGGCCGTGGCAATAGAGTGTTTTGTCGCATGAATGACAAAGACCTATCAACTGCCCGGGCTCTCAATGGGCTCTTGAGGGAGGCACCTGGCAGATGGAGTGGTCAAGCTTTGGATGAAGAAAAGAACAGCGACAAGCCCTCCTCCAAAAGTCCGCCACTTTGTAAACGCAAAGCCTCCGATGCCCTGCACCAAAGCACTTGCTTGGACTAGTTTGCCCTTTGTGCTTGACTTGACTACCTAAGGGTATCTAGTAGCACATAATGTTTCCAATCAAGAAGAATTTTGTAACTATATCCTCATTCTCATTTAGCGTACTCTATTATTAAAACACACTGCAAAGGGATGACATGAATTGGAGACACACTAGAAATAGCTAGACTAGTTAACGGTACTTGCGCACACCCAGATAATGGCACCGCACTATTATTTTATAATTTTGTATTGGAGCCAAAATGCATGCACCTTGCCTGTTGGTAATTGGTATTTATTTTCTTCCCAGACAACCATTTCGTGGCAAAACAAGTTCAAGATCAAACCCTTATAGATACCTGTATCGCTGCGGTTGCCTTGACTGCCTGTTTGAGCTGTCTTCCTGCGAGCATCATATATTATATCTCCGACCAACAAACCACTGCAAAGGGAGTTGAACAACATGCCAACAATAAAAATTCATTGCAGTTACGATGATCACTTGGACCCAATCGACGGTTTTGTTTATTTGTCGGTTCTCCAAACCCTGTCTTCTTTGCAAGCCTTGGTGCTATCAGATGCACCACTAAAGATGATACGGTTGGTCTACGAAGCAGATCCGTCTGCCATGAACGATGATGTCTTCCTGGATGCATGTCGACATAGCAAAAGATGCGACGTAATTCAGTTTCTCAAGGAGCTTGTAGAACCCAGTGTGTATTCACCTGCGAAAATTGCCAGAATCATGTTGGAGCTTTTTGAGAATGACCACAGCTTCGATGATGAAAATTTTGTTACCCTCTTCAAAATGTTTCCAGAAGCCGCATACTACAATGACCTTCCAGGTCAAGTTTCGGGCCCTTTCCGTGCCATGTTTACTAATGACTATTGGGGTGATAAGCTCCATGATGAAGTCAGGTGTGACATGATACGGCACATTCCTGGTGATATCAAGCTCATCAAAATTGGGAGCTTGGATAGAAATAGGGAAGCTGAATCGAATATAGAGTGCAGATCCTTATTGGTGACAAAGTTGAAAGATTTGAAAAACCTCCAAGAATTAGAATTGCCTGTTGACGTGGGAGACAAAACGGATCAAAATCTGGTGGAAGCAATTTGCCACTTGATATTGTTGGGGCCATTGAAGACTCTCAGGATCAACAGCAGTGGATTTGATGATGACGATGAAGAGCAAGAGGGAGACAGTGAAGGGAAAGACAAACAGAGTGGGTTCTTTCTACCAATTCTAGATGCTATTGCTGTGTCTGGAAGCAACTCAAAGCTGAAACATTTGTCACTGCCAGACTTTGATAGTCATGCGGCGGCGGGAGGTTACCGAGATCGTATGATTGAGATCCTACAGTGGAATACATCTCTGACTGACGTCGGCGTAGGTTATGTTTCACATTGGAGTGACGAGCCCAGTTTGGGGTATAAGGAGGCATTGATTGACCAGCCGTTGATTGACCATTACACAACAATGAACGAATATGGCAGGGGTTTAGTGCGAGACCCAAAAACGACACTGTGGACTATTGTGGATCTGTTAGAAAAGGCGACCGCAAGCTATAGAGACTTTGTTAGGCGACATCCTTACCGTGGCAAGAGAACGCTGTATTACATGAAGGACATAGACCTATCAACTGTCCGGGTTCTCAATGGGCTATTGAGGGAGGCACCTGGCAAATGGAGCGATATAGCTTTGGATGAAGACAAGAACAAGAACAAAAAGCCCTCAGCCAAAAGCCAACCAAATCGGAAACGGAAAGCCTCTCATTCCCTGGATTGAAGCACATGCTTGGACTAGTTCACTCTTTGTGCTTGGTGACTACCTACCGGTAGCTAGCTAGCTAGCTAGCACATACTGTATGTAGCCAATTAATCAAGAATTTACTGTAGCAAAAATCCTTGTTCTCATTCATCTATTTATTAGGCAGTTCTAAATTGTTACTACTAATGGGATGTCCAGTCTGGACTCGTTGACTCGAGTCTGCCCAAATTCCTATCACCAAGTTTTTCCCCAAAAGATTTGGTGCCACAGCGCTGAGAGATTGGTGAGCACGCAGACGCCATTTCCCCAAGAAGGTTGCTTTTTTGTCCCGGGGATGGTCCAGAGGAATATATAGCTAGCCAGCTCTGGTTGGTGATTGGATATATGTTTTACCTCACGCCACATCTACTAGCTAGCCTGCTTTCATTGTCTGCTCGTGCATCTATTATATATTACCGGTATACCGGTACCCACCCAAGGGTTGCTCTTTGTGTATGGTCAGAGCCTCCTCATCAGCAACGGCAGCGGCACCATGATGTTGGCACGTTGTGGATAGATTTATTTGTGAGATACCGTCGATCTCCAAACTCCAAAGCCATGTGCCAAGAAGGCCGTGATTTAATGATGACAGGACACCAACCAGGGAGTAATCGTGACGAGAAGACTCTGGTTAGTGTTCATGCTTAGGATTCGCGGGATGGAACACTCATTTATGACCACGTCCAATGACCAATCACCGTAAAAGGCAGTGAAACCGCCGTGTTGTGGTGTAGTAACTGGCATTGGGAAAAGAAGTGGTACCAACCAGGTGAAATTTGGCATGACTTGACGAAAACCAGCTTCCAACAGCAAAAAAGAAGAAACTCTGCCACAACCACCATTCGACCATCCATTACCCAACCTGTATTACTATTGTACCATCCCTTTGTATTGAATACCCAAACCTATTATTATACCAACTGAGCAAGCCTTGATTATCTATCCATCTAGAATGTTGGTGAGAGCTAGATCCTGAGGTTCCTCTAGATTCATCCATCTCTAGATACCCATCAGCTAGCTAGAATGCAGTTCCCACGCCTTCTGCTACTGCTGCTGCCAGTGCTACTAGTGCTGTTGCTTCAGGTGGTGACTCCTGATGATAATGACCAACTGGAATCTACAAGCACCAGTACAAGTTTTCTGAGGAGAAGAAGGACTGATCAGCATCTGCATGTACCGGTACATAACAGTACTGGCACAGAACGTCAAGGCCAGTGGACCCTTCAGCAACCTGGAGATGAGGATCCCCATTGGAAAGTGGCAGTCCGAGAGCACCATGTACGAGCACTGCAAGAACGACCGAATACTGGTGGTAGTAATCCCGCTGGTGCTGGTGGCCTCGACGGCATTCCCGTCAATGACAATCAACAGACCGTTACGAATCCAGAAGACAACTTTCCATCGTTGGAATTGGATGGGAGACACTGGATATATGTGATTGTCGCCATGGGCTTTGAGGAGGGTTTGGCACGAGACGTGTCGCAAGAAGAACTACTGGAGTATCAGTGTTTCATGAACGATTACATTCAAGACCGCGTCACCATGAACTTGACAGCTGCAGGAGTCGATCGACCCATTTCAGTCAAATCCAGACTCCTCAATTGGGATTTCACCAATCAAGAAGACGAACTGCCCTTGACCGTTACCTTTTATGCCGATACCACCTACACCGATAATAAAGACGGAGAAGAACCAGAATCCGTCAATGCCGACACGGTATTCTACTCCTTTGATCTGTCACCGGAAGAAATTGGAAACTTTATTCAAAACTACGTATGGCTCGTCGACATTAAAAATCCATTCTACTACGTCATGGCCGTCACAATGCGCGTACGACAAGCCGAACCGTTGCCAGATCCCTCCGAATTGAAGATTGATCGGACGTGGTGTGATGGAGAAACCAAGGAACCCAGTGCGGCACCCTCTGTGGCATCCCTGCCTTCCAACGCACCGTCATTGGCACCCACCACTGTGCAACCCACACTCGCGACAACTGCACCATCAGTAATAGCAGCACCCACTACTCCACCCACTCAGGCGACGGCGACTAGTGCACCAACCGCGGAGGGTGAAACTCTGTCGCCCACCGCTGTCTCCGACAACAACAACAATAATAATATTGATGATATTGGTGCCAACAATCCCAACAGTATTAGCACAGATCCCGCTTCCACAAACTCGACAGACCCAAGTGCCAATGCAACGGATCCTAACAACAACACTGATGGTACTAACAATGCTACCGACCCGACAAACAACAATCCCGACGGCAACAACGCTACAGATCCCAACAACGATAATGCTACCGATACCACAATGTCTCCCACCAGTTCCATGGCGCCCACGGTTTCACCAGCCCCTACGGTTTCACCAGCACCCACAATGCCACCCTCCGTGTCTCCCGCACCGACAGTGACCATGATGCCGACAGGGCCATCCACCAACGAAACAGCATCACCCAATGATAGTGACAATGATAGTGACAACGACAACAGTAATGCGACTCTATCACCGACTAGTTCCATGGCGCCCTCCGTTTCACCAGCGCCAACAATGACACCTTCCGTTTCTCCAGCGCCCACAGTGACCATGGCTCCAACCACCACCCAAGCGACAACATTACCCACCACGGAGGAAAATACACAAGCACCTTCCTTAGCCACCGACGAACTACCCACGCCTCCCACCAACCAAGTCCAAGCCACGACACCTCCCAGACCCGAACCACCCACACCACCCACCAACCAAGTCCAAGCCACAACACCGCCTAGGCCCGAACCACCCACGCCACCGACAAACCAAGTCCAAGCCACGACACCTCCCAGGCCACAACCGCCGTCGTCGGAAACCACGGCATCGCCGTCCATTAGCAACAATGGTCCATCCATAATGGAGGAGACCACTTCTCCCACTGTCAATGCTCCCACTGTCAATGCTCCGTCCATCACCACTACTGCCCCATCCATCACCACTACTGCCAGTCCATCCACGGAAACGGAAACGGCCAGTCCATCCGTTGCCACAGACACGAGTCCTTCGGCTGCTGCCGCCGCAGACACAACCAGTCCTTCGGCTGCGGCCACTGACGCGACACCTACCACACCGGGACCCGGTAATAGTGGTGGTGAGAATCCTGGCAACAACAACGACAACAACAATAACCCTCCAGGACCCACTCGATCGGTCCCCTACAGCATGGACATTACATGGACCAATCCAGACCATGTTTCTCCAGAACAAGAACCCAACCAAGACCAGATTCGACAAATGCTTTGTGAAACACAATTGTTCCTACAGGAAAGACTGGCCGTGGCCACGGGACGGACCACCGTCAACACCACGCTGTCGAGTATCGATTGGGTGTGGCAAACGAATAGTGCGGATAAGGCTGATTTCGTCGTCAACTATACCCTCACCGCTCACGGCAACCTAGGCGAATCTTTGGTACCGCCAGCGATTGTACAAGCCGCCTTGGAAAATGCCGGGCCCGATTTGTTTCAGTACTTGCTCGCGGCAGCCGCCACGGAAAAGTATGCGACTGCGGCGGAAATTGCCAAAGAAAAACAAGAAAATATCTTTCGACAAGGCGATGGCACGGCTACGGCGGACGCCGCTGGGGACAGTCCCTTTGGTTTCATGAGTTTATTGGTCATGACAGACTTGCTGTCACAGGAGTCATCATCTTTGGAACAACAACATTCCCCAGGCAAAATTGAAACCTTGGAAGGATGCCAGGATTTGTCGTTGCGAGATCCACCCAAATCGCTGCTCGGGGATGAGTTGGATCCATCGTTGCTGGCCGATCTGCCAGCGGAAAATAGTGGCGGTGGGGCGGCAGAAAACGACAATGGCAATCCCAGAGAACAGCCAGGAGGAGGAGACGCCGATGATCCCACATCTACAGGTGGCGTCGCTGGTACTGCCGTTACGTTGGCGCCTACAGCGGCACCAGGTCCGTCGGTAGAACAGGTGAATGTGAGCTTTATCGTTTCGAACTTGGATCAAATTACCGATCCCGGAATTGTCAATATCAGTGGATTGTCCTTGTCCTTTCCGGCGTTTGCGGAAAAGGTTGTAAGCAGAGTTGCTGCGGAAGATGGAGTACCACGACGACGATATCTTCGAGCAGCTGCAGATAGACGGCATTTGGCGCTCAAAGTGATACTCGAACCGGGGACTGCATACGTGTCAGAAATATTCCGAACGGACTGCGGAAATCAGACGGATCAACAACTGGTGTGTCACGAAGCTCGGGGTCAGTTCGAGCTGCGTCGAGGCGAGGCAGATGACCTACTATCAGAGACTTCTGCACCGGGGAACGAAACCTCCACCAACGAAACCTCTACCAATGAAACGACTACAAGCCAACGGCGCTTACAAGATTGGACGCACAGGTACGCCGTTGAGGCGTATCAAACCATCAATGATGGAACCTATTACGACATTATGAAGCAAGCAATGCCAACCACACCACTCTACATTGGAACCACGGTGCCTGGAGTGCCAGTACCTCCCTCTGGCGTGTCCGACACTGTAATGTGGATTCTGATTGCGCTCATTATAGCACTGGCCATTTGTATCATTCTTACTTGCGCCTATCTCTTTTACGAGAGACGAGAGCATGACAAAGAGGTCGACCAGCTACTGGATGAGATGGAAGAAATGGAGTTGGAGGATGGCTCTCAGAATTCCAAACACCATCACCACCATTATCCACCAGATAAGGAGGACAAAGATGGAACCCACAAGGGGAGTGACAGCGACAAGAGAGACACCGAAGAGGACGAGGAAGACTTTATGGACGAGGAGGAATTCATGGACATGGATATCGATGACGGAGAAAGCGCTGACAACGACAAGGGATTTGTGGATGAATACTTCGACGAAGATGACTTTTTGGATGAGATGGAAAAGAAGGATGACGACAGCGACAAGTCTGGTGATGGCGCCCAGCAAAGGAGCGTTTCGCCCATGGAGGATGATTCTAACAGCGACAGGTCCCCTATTGATGGCGTCCAGGAGACGCGTGCTGCCCCCCCAGACGGTTTGGAGGACATCGAGCCTGCAACGCTTGATGATGACGAGAACAACAAGCCTGCTGCTGTCGATGATTCCGACGACGAAGAAGACGATGTTGACAATTTGGATGACAGTGAAAACATCATCGAGTTTGACAATGACCCTGAGGAAGACGCCAGTACCCTGAGTAGCGGGCATTCATCTGTTGGACCAAATGACTCGGACGAAGGGTGGGAGTCTGGGTCGGGTTCGAGCAGCAGTGAAAGTAGTCATAGCAGTGGAGGCAGCAGCAGCAGTGGAGGCAGCAGCAGCAGCGGTAGTGGTAGCCACGACGAGGAAGGGCAACATGACAATGAAGAAGGACAGGCACTCGAAAATGCCCGAAGCCTTGGAGTTGACAGCAGCGACCCAGAAGACGAAGACGAAAAGGAGGGCTCCCTCGAAATGGAGGACATATTGTCCCGAAGCCTGGGAAAAGACAGCGGCGGAGCCGAGAAAGAAGAAGATCAGGGCAAAGGTGGCCAAGAAGATCAACCCGCCGAGCGACACGATGACGACGCGGCGAAGACTAGAGGTCTCAGCATCATTGATGATGGCCAAGACCACGTTTTTGAGGACGGAAACGACTCGGCTGACTTTGAGAGGAGTGTTACGCTCCAGGAAATCTTCAACTTGTCGCGGCCCCTCGGCGATTCTGGAAGCAATATCAACGAGAAGCAAGCAGTGTCTGTACCGGACACAATAGAAGAAGAATCTGAAACCCCGTCCGAGGACCAATCTGATGCTGCCCAAGAAGTTGCCGCAACGGGCACGAGAGCACTAGGGGATATTGCAGTTAGTGATGCAAAGGCAATGGACGACTCGTCGGAACACGAAATTGTGTTTGGCGAGGAGGAGGACGACGAGGTAAGCGAAGGCCAAGGTTCTGACGAAGATGTAAGTGACAACGAGGAAGCCGAAAACGAGAACAAAGATACTTCCCAGGATTCTGACAAGAATTCTGACCAAGATGGAAGCGACGACAAGGAAGCAAAAGATGGAAGTGACAACGAGGAAAGTGGAGAGGACGTATGGAATTCTATGATGGAAGCACAGATGGCCAATCCAGCCAGGAGTGCAGCAGCCCTCGCTGACAGCAACGACGAGATAGGCGAAGCCGAAGAACAAAACGAACACGGAGGTGAACACCAGAATGATGGCACAATATATAGCAGCAGAAGCATTGGAGAGGCGGCTCAAGATGATGATGGAAGCGAGGGCAGTGGCCAACTGAGACGAGAAAGTGGCACCAGCGCTGGTACATCGAGCAGTGACGGTGTCAGTGATGATGAAGCCATGGAAGACCACGATGGAAGTGGGGAATTAAAGCAAGATAGTGCCTTCAGTGCAGGCAGTTCTAGCGACGGCGAAGCCGGAATGGAAGAACAAGATGAAAGCGAAGATGTGCAAAGAGATCGTGGCATCATTGGTGGCATTGCTAGCGATGGAGAAGAGGACGCAGAAGAACACTATGGAAGCGACGAAGTGCAAAAAGATCGTGGCATCATTGGTGGCAGTGAGGACGGCAGAGAAGAGGATATGGAAGAACACGATGGAAGCGAAGAAGTGCAAAGAGATCGCGGCATCAATGGTGATAGTGAGGATGACAGAGAAGAGGACCTGGAAGAACACGATAGAAGCAACGAATTGCAAAGAGATCATGGCATCAATGCTGGCAGCGAGGACGGCAGAGAAAAGGACACGGAAGATCATGATGGAAGCAACGAATTGCACAGAGATCGTGGCATCAGTGCTGACACATTTGGCAGTGACCATGAAAATTACGAGGACATGGAAGATCATGATGAAACCCAAGAACCAAGGAGGGAAAGTGGCACCCTTGACAGCGACCACGATGATGACAAAGACATGGAAGGCTTTGAAGGAAGCGGAGAAGTAAAAAGAGATAGCGGCACATCTGGCAGCAACAATGACAGTGAAGAAAATTGGGAAGACTTTGAAGGAAGTGGAGAAGTGAAAAGGGATAGCGGCACCAGTGCTGGCACATCTGGCAGTGAAGAAGAGTGGGAGGACTTTGAGGGAAGTGGAGATGCCAAGTTGAACACTAGTGGCATATCTAATGACAGTGGAGTGGAATGGGAAGACAATGATGAAGAGGACATTGAGAAGGCCAACAATGCCAGTGGCATCTCTAGTGACAGTGGAGTTGACTGGGAAGACTATGGTGATGATGATGACGCGGAAAAAGCCAACAACGCCAGTGGCATCTCTACCGACAGTGGAGTGGACTGGGAAGACTATGGTGATGATGGTGACGAGGAAAAAGCCAACAATGCCAGTGGCATCTCTACCGACAGTGGAGTGGACTGGGAAGACTATGGTGATGATGGTGATGAGGAAAAAGCCAACAATGCCAGCGGCATCAGCGGTGACAGTGGAGTTGAATGGGAAGACATGGACGATGAAGATGGAGAGGATGGAAAAGCAAGCAATGACAGTGGAGTTGACTGGGAAGACTACGGCAGTGACGAGGAAGAAGATAATGCAAAAGGAAGTGATGCAAGTAGCGACGTGGACTGGGAAGACTACGGCAGTAGACGAGGAAGAAGATAAGGCGAAAGGAAGCGATGCAAGTAGCGACGTGGACTGGGAAGACTACGGCAGTGATGAGGAAGTTAAAGCCAAGGGAAGCGATGCAAGTAGCGACGTGGACTGGGAAGACTACGGCAGTGACGAGGAGAAGCCAATGCAAAAGGAAGTGATGCAAGTAGCGACGTGGAATTTGAAGACTACGGCAGTGACGAGGAAGAAGATAAGGCAAAAGGAAGCGACGCAAGTAGCGACGTGGACTGGGAAGACTTAGGCAGCGATGAGGAAGAGGATAAGGCAAGAGGAAGCGATGCAAGTGGTGATGTGGACTGGGAAGACTATGGCAGTAATGAGGAGGAAGAGGAGGACGACGATGATGATAGTGTTGACTTGAAAGAAAAGTCAACCAATTCTCTCCGTGATGCATTTGCTGTGGATGCCGACAATGAAAGTGCCCAAGATATGCTCTGGGATAGCTACGTCCATGATTCGGATGAAATTGTGTTCAATGCTGAAGACTCCGATTCAGACTAATCGAGTTTTCACAACTGGTGCAGTGGCTCTGTGCCGGCGCAAGAACGATACAAGCGGCGCTTCAGGCCGGACATTTCAAGTTGGTCTCGCCCGTCGTTCCAACTATTCTGGGTTCAAGGCAGAATCGATTGCTGTCCCGCACACCAGCAATCTGAGACAGAACTATGGCCACTGCACGACTTGCTGTTTCATCAACAGTTCCTCTGTCCACCTCTCTCCTCCGCTTTTCTCTTTTGATTGGATGTCCACACCCAAACTTCAACCCGCTCGATCGACCTCCCTGAGCCCTTCTGCCTCCTTCTGGAACAAGACGGTGAATTGGAACACGCTGTGCAGAGAGCAACAGCCTCTAGCAACAGATTCAATTGACCATTCCTCTAACTGGAACGGGCTCGTCGTTATTCTGATCTGCACTGCGCTGCAAAGAAAATAGCCAATTATTGCTAGCTAGGACACTATTTCAGGCGACCGTTATCGACTACAGAAAATACAGACCAGCTACGTAGCGATTATCGTTGCAATGTTACGAATCTCAGCAAGGAAATCCTCATGTAGATCCATCCCATCAAAATCTTCCACAGTAAGGGCTTCACCATCCAGATCACTTCCATATGTATCCTCTTCGTCAATCTCCTCTGAATCCAAGCTATGACCATCAATGTCATCACCACCATCATCATCGCCGGATTTTGCAGCCTTTCGCTTCCTGTTTCCTGAAGGCAAGCCCGCAGGCGGCATTTCGTCATCGTTGGGGTTATTAATGGATGTGTCCATTCGCTCATCCTGGTGACTGCTGACTTGCGCCCATTCCTGGCGTTGAGATTCCGAGATGACTTTGGCTGCTTCCACCTTGGGAGTGTCTTCTGGAGGCGTCTCTTCTGCGCCGTTCTCTGCATTGGCATCCGAATCATCCTGTTTGACTTCTCTACCCTCAAAGCGAGCATGCACCTCATCGAGAAACAGAGGATTATAAACACCCCAATTGGTCCAAGCCCCGAGCACGGCACTGACACAGGATGACAATTTGTTCTTGGACATTCTGCCTAACCCAGTCTCGCTTCCATGCTTGCCAAGACTAGCAAATACTTCTGGAGCCATGCGTTCAATGCGGTCACGGTACAGAAATGCATTCCGGACTCCTGGTTGTTGCGAATTAAAGAGAATATCCGAGAGCAAGTACAATCGTGCAATCCTCGTGTCGACAGAAATGCCCGCACACGTCTTGTCGTCCTCCAAAAGCAACTCTTTCAGCAGTCTGGCAATCTGGTCGGCCGCCTTGCTTTTCTCAAAGCAAAATGCCATGGCTTGACAAATGGCTTCACGAGATGCACACAACTGTGTTCGTACCAGCCGATGGAATTGCTCCATTTCCGCTCGAGTCAAATGCGCCGACGATTCTCCTCCACCGGTTTCCAGTTGACGGCCGGTTCGTATTCTCCTGCGGCGCTGTTTCTTTTGCAAATCCCGATCTTCGTCGCGCATCTTTTGTTCCAAATCTTCCTGACGAGCCGCTTCCACGTTGATGGGTGGCGGAATCCAAAAGACACCACCATTGTTCGGATGCGTCATGACAAAGGGTGCAGCCCTCCATTGACGAAAACTATCTCCCTGACTGAAACTGTACACCCGCCATCGGTAGTAAATGTGTTCCAACCAGTGCTGAAATTGTGGACTATTGGCGTGTTGTTGACTGGCTTTGGGTGGCATGACGAGGAATGCAAAATCGGGGTTGGCTGCTTCTGTTTCAATGAGTTTTTCTTCCAGAATGGATCCATCCTTGGCGACAAAGGATGCCACGGTGGAAATAAAGTGGGCGCGGGAGGGTATGGGTGGTACTTGTACCACTACAGCGTTTGTTTGGTGTGTTTCGGGTACATAGGTTGGAATGGTTCCAAACGCCGAGGACGGTGCCAAACTTGTGATTGTCGCGTTATTGACATTAGTGCCGTGTGTTTGCACCTGTTCCTTTTGACGATTCGCCGCAGCCCTGTTGGCGCTGTCCGAGTAGGCTATTGTTGTGGTTGTCGACTTCTTGGTTTGCTGTTGCTGTTGTCGTTGTTTTTGTGATGCCACCGCCACTCCTCCCGTTCCCGCTTTGATGATTTTCTTGACATTTTTGCCCCAGCGCATCATGATTCTGCGTCCCACCTTGAAGACATCCCGTTCATCAAACTTGATGGCTTCTTCGGCATCTTCTCGATGCATAAAGCAGACAAATCCCGTATTGCGATTCCTGGCTCGTTCCTCGGGTGTCCGGGGCCACATGACCTTCATTGAACACAGACAGAGTAAGATTTGTTTTGAGATTGTTGATGGATGATGTGTGCTTCATTGGTGATGATGATACAGTATCCCAATTCTTTTATCAGTAATCCTACCTTGACAGAGTACAAGTCACCTTGATCCAGCATGCAGTGAGTGGATCAATCATCATGCAGCACATTTGTTCAGGAAACAATATATAAACAGAATGGCAATTCAATGAATGAATGACAATGATGTGTGTGTCTCACCAAACTGTCCAAAGAAATCTGTAATCTCTTCTTCGGTAATACTGGGAGCCAGATTGCCTACAAAAATGTTGGTAGTCAAGTGTTCTTCTTCCGGCGGCACAAAGGATCCTTTCTTTTCGGGCACCATTTGCCGCGCGGGTTGCGATAAAGGTCGCCTGGCTTTTTCCACCTCCAATTCTTGCAACAGCGCATTCATCTTTTGCTTTCGGGAATCACTGCTGGCCACATGATGGCGTTTCATGGACGACGTTGTGGATGCTGGTAGCTTTACGGACGTGCCACTAGTAGCATCTTGGGATGCCCCAGTTGATTTGGTCTTGTTCTTATTGTCCTTGCCGCCCTTGCTTTTCGAAAGCCTGGCAAAGGCATCATCATCGTCATCAGAAGACGACGAAGACTCGTCTTCGACAGGAGCGCCACGACGTTGTCTCATTGTCGTCAATTGATCGATTGGCCGTGCACCGTCAAAAGGAAGGATCCAAGCCGAAGGACGATATTGAGAATTGAGAGCGATCGAGTGAAGCAAGAGGCAAGAGGTGTTGATGCCATGAAGCAATTGAAAGCATTAGGTGGTCTCATTGAAGATTTAGAGAATGAAGCGAGATTTAACAGTGAATACCAAACGTTATCCACCACCCCATTTCGCGGACAGGCTCATGTACAATCTGGCTTTCTTATTACAGCACGTCCCCGTTCCAACGTTCCAACTCTCCTCTTGGTGTACAGTACTGGTCGAACGCTGAAACAACTTTCCGAGCAAAGCATGCAACAGTCTCTTCTTTTTTTCTGGCTGGAGGCTGGAAGCAACGTTGCAGAGCTGGAGTGTCGCTCCTCGCCTCCGTTTGACCTGGCTGGCCTGGCCTGCAATGAAGAACAGACAGCCGAAGGCTGATGCCCTCAACTGTCAAAAAAGAGATTTGATTCTTTGGCCAAATCCAACACTGTGTTCAACTGAACACACAGTCTACTGTAGTCTATCGATAGCCAACCAAAACACACACATTGGTACTCGGAGTATGTTTTACCAGCTAACAATTAATATTTACCTCATCCTTTATGACGGACGTACAGACTAACTTGCACACATACTCTGGTACTCGGAGTATGTTTTACCTGCTAACAATTATTATTTACCCCATCCTTTATGGCGGACGTACATACTAACTTGCACACACACATAGTTTGGTACTCGGAGTATATTTTACCAACTAACAATTATTATTTACCCCATCCTTTATGCCGGACGTACACACTAACCAGCACACACAGAGACGTACAGACTAACTTGCACATACAGCGATAAAAGTGTGAAAGACCCTCAGTCGGTTGAGGGCAAAAAGTTGGACTCGACTCGACTCAAGCGCTGGCTAGCTAGTCGTAGATCAGCCAGGTCCAGTTCATCGTTTGTTTCATCCGCAGGAACCGACGGAAGAAATCAGATACAGTACTACATGTCGAGTAGATCTAACTGGCTACCGTGGCTTGAATGTGTACCGGAAGCAAAACCTTGGCTTGCTTGGTTCGCAGACGTCTCCCTCCACCCCAATCTTCTCGATGGTTGTATTCTTGAAACTCTATCTGTAGCTAGAGCTTGCTAGTTAGTGTAGTCTGAGAGGCATACATAGCTACGGTACAAGATATGGTATTAGATCGTAGCAAGGTAAAGGATCGTACAAGTTCCTGAGAATCCTTGGACCTGTAGCTGGTTGCGGTCGTAACTTGTGATCGAGTTCGACATGGATGCCCAGAGAGTGTGGTCCTGGGAAAGACTTATTGGCACTGAAAAGAGTTAGTGTGAATACCGAGCGTCAACCACGACAGCACCCGAATCCGCAATAAATAAATAATGACGACCACCACCACGCACTTGTACAGTCCTCTCCTCGGAAATGCCAAAAGAGAAGAAGCACATACGGTAACCAAGGAAGACAATAGAGACGCTGGTCACTGCATTGCATCGCACTGCACTGACTGCTCTGTATCGGCAGCCATAGCTAGACTATTGGTTGATTGAGTATTGTATTGTGATTGGTGTCAGCAACTTGCTTTTGGAAGAACTGGCTGACAAGCAACCATCCTCATAAGTTCAATCATTTCATCCCATTGAGCGCACAAGAGTTCAAGTTGGAATTGAATCTTCAATCGAGGCTCTGATCTCCTACGTACCGTAATCGACGAGTACGAAGAGGAAGACCGGGTTCCTCAAGTTTGTGAGTGACGAAGTGAAGGAGACACATCAAAAGGAGATCCAGAACACCCAAGCTACTACGTCCTTCAGTAGAAGTGCTACAACAATCCACATCGCATCACATCACTTTGCATCAGTCATGAAAGAACGGGCAGCCAGTCCACAACGTCCTACTCCTGTTGGAGATCCGTTTAAAACGCCTCCACCATCTCCTCCTCGTCGTCAACCTGCACTACTTGACACTCCACCTCCTTCCTTGTCCCGATCGATCAGTGCTCCTCCCGATCAACCTTATTTTCCGCACAATCGCGATCGTTCTCCGCGACGCAACAATCCCAGTACACGCAGTCGAACGCCTTCACCCGCCAGTGATTCCGAATGCGACCGTCATGGCGCTCTTCTACGAGGTTGGACTACCGATGACAGTGGCGCCCTGCATCGACAAGATGCCGCACGATTTCCAACTCGCACGGGAAGTCTCAAACAGAGCAGTCCCAAAAAAGGACCCTCCAAAAGCAAATTGCTACGGTCGTTTAGTGGTGGTAGCAATCAGAGTAGTAGCAAAACCAGCGCGACAGATATGGAACGCAATTCCTATCATCCTCGCAGCATGTCGTCCTTGTTTCATGTCAATTTCAAAAAGTCACCCGAATTGACTCAAATTGAAGAATTCGAACGCATCGATGCATCCCTCAAAAATGAACTCTGGTATTTTGCCAAAGAGCTCAAATATTTAATGGCATCCGAAGTCGAACGCAATCGCAAATACGAAGAGGGTGAATTGTCCGAACAGGAGAATGCAAAATCTGCGGCGGATGAAGAAGAATTGTGTTGTTGGAGAGGCCTAGAGCATGTCTGGGAGGGAGACGATCGATCCAATCGGATACGACAAACCGTCGCCGGTATTGTCCACTGGTATCGGGATGCCAAAGAAATGGGATACAACGATCCCGATGAATTGCGGATTGTCAGCAAGGCACGGACTAAAAACGATCGTACCAAAGCACAGAAAAAAGCTTCCGCCGATGCCCTGTACATGAAGAAACTGCACAAACACGAACAACACGCTGCCAATCCTTCCTCGTCGCACTCCCATCACCATTCGACATCGTCCGGTCTTTCCCCCAAACGCATGGCACGACGCATTTCCAAAACATTTGCGCCATTGCCAAAATTACATTGGAGTCCCAAACCAAACAAAAAAACTACCTCTTTGACAGTGTAATGGCTAGAATCCAAAAAAGACGACAAGTTCTTATGTTGGACGACGACGACGGTCTTATATTGGACGACAACAACAACAACAACCAGCTAGCCACGGTGCCTTGACTGGGTGCTACACAGGTATTGCGAACATTCGTGGCGGATCTTTCTGGACAGTCGTCGAATACAAGCCACGGACCCGTTTAGAGTCTTTGAACGGGATGATGACCTACCCTAGCGCATATCTCCTACAGTACCGGCACTACACAGAGGCACGGCGTACCGAGTGAGTCGAGTTCGTCGTTGCACCTACATTTAGTTAGAGCTACGGTAGATGTGTAATCCTTTTGGATTATTTTGTCAAGCAAGTTTACGCCACAGAATCACAACGGCATGGCTGATTGCTGATTGAGTAATAATTGTGTACTCATCAGCAAGCACTATCCGACTTATTATTAATACAGTCTCCAGGCCCCATCCATCGTTCACATAGTTTCCTTGTTGTTTCAAGGTACTAGCTAGTACTTTGGTGCCTGTTATTATGACAAAGAACATTTCACATTGCCAGAAGTATTGCAATCATGGCTTGCAGACTTGCTATGTTTGGTGTCCGAATAGACGAAATAGGTCAACCGGGGCGCTTGCCTTCACTAGCTCTCTCTAGAGCTCTAGCTAGAGACATCGTTTGAAGCCAACCTGCTAGCTAGAACAATACACACACACAGAGAGAGAGAGTTTACAGCTATGTAGTTCAAGACAGCTCGGGGACAGTTCCTCGATGTCTTTTTGTTTGCTAAACTGATATATCCCACAAATTTCATGCAGTGCCCTGGTGTTGAACTCCGTCTTCCCTTGGTTGCAGCAACGGAGCGTCCTCCCTCTAGTAGCACTCCTGTCCCGAATACCGCACCATGTCAACGCGAGAGCAACATGGCAAATGCAGTTGCAGCCTACTAGATTGGTTCCCACGATGGAGGCCAGGACGACTCTGTACTGGGCATTTAGTTGAAGCGCTCACTTCTCTTGTCGTCGAATGCGCATGTTCGGAGCTGCTCGATAGCTTCTGCGACGAGAGCGAGTTGCAAAGCAAGCACTAGAAAACGTGCAAGCTGCAACTCATAGTTTTCGATCGATAACCGTTTTGCGATTGTGATTCCAACTGTGTAGCGTCACAGGAAGAATGAATCGAATCGCCCAACCTCGATTCCTGGGTGGTTATCCCAACGATCCCGAATTCAGATGCCCCCGCATACATCCCGCCAGCAAAGCTATAACGCATATCATGCATAATGATCGGATCCATCCATTTCCTCTTCTTCGCGCACTTGTTTGGCGTCTTGTTGTTTGGTGGTTGCTAATTCCAATTGGTCCTCCTCTTCCTCGTCTTCCTCTTGCACAGCACGAGCAAACGGCAGGGGCGCGTCTTCTTCTTCTTCGACAACATGATCAAATGGGAGGGGCTCGTTTTCTTGGTTTTGTTCTTCTTCGTCATCATCATCATCGTCATCAAAGGAAAAGTCGTCGTCACCAAACAAGAAAGAATCCATACCAGATCCACGTCGGATGGTTTTGTTGCCTTGTTCATTAAAGGGCGATGCAAAGTCTGCCTCTGATTTATTGTTGTTGTTGGCGTTACGATGATGACTGTCACTGGATACACCCGATTTGAAACTGGTATCAAACAGGTCAAATACAGCGAGTGATCCCAGTCGCGACATGATCCGTGGAAGTCGGGAGGATTTTTCTTGTCGTAGATTGGATGATTTGTCTCGTCGTAGGTGATGAGTCGATTTATTACCTCCTCCAAAAAAGTTACTTCCAGCTCGACCCAGACCCTGCTGTTGCTGTTGTTGTCGTGAGGATGATCCCACCGAGTCTCGCAGTGCCGAACTAGTCGTACTGTGGAGCGAGACCCCGGATTGTCTTAGGGCGTACGCACTGGAACGATCTGATTTTCGAAGGGACGAATGGTCTGACATGAGGTGTTCCAGATTCAACGATGCGTCCATATTATGTCCGTCCATGTGTATGTTTGTCGTGCTGTCTGCCATGGGAGAGGCAAGATCGACCTGTGCAGTTGGCGTGTTGTTGTAGTAGTTGTTGTTGTTGTCTTCCGATTCTTCTTCGTTGATTTGCGCAAGAAGCTGTGGCTGGGGAAACGTGGCCGTGGTGGAAGACGTTCGATCCTCCGTGACGACTGGCACTTCTTCTTCCTTGGGTGCCGGCTTTTTGGTGCTTGCGGTGGCGGCAACATTGCTGTGAGTGAATAGTTCTTGTCTCGGAAATGGTCGCCGTTGCGCCGCCTTGACGGCATCTCCAAACATGGCACGTCGAAAACACCATAATCGCGATTGCAGAGGAAAACATTTGCGCGTTCGTAGATATTTGGGTCGCGAAAAGACACACAAATTGAAAAATCCTTGGGCGGGTAGAAAGATGGCTTGCAGGACCAACAGCACAAACAAATCGGATTCGTGTTCGGATGTCCAATACTTGTCGCGCGCTGTAATGTTTCGCAATACCATGGTCCAAATATAATTGAGAAAGAACACGAGTACGTAAAAGGCAGCTTGTACCATGACGGCTTGACTGCGTCTCGTTTGTGCATCGATGGGTTTTCGTTTGAAGAATTTGGAACTGGCGGCAAAGAAACCGGATCCTTGTGTGGCTCCTCCGGATCCTCCAATGCTGCGTGCCGAGTCGTACATGTAATTGCTCGAGTGCTGGTGTTGAAAAGAGTGTCGTTTGGCCTTGCGAATGGTCTTGCGTACATGACAAAAGATGATCATGTTGTTGATCAAAATGGAAAAGAATCCCACAATCACAGGCACTCCGGCCGAGATCCATCCCAGCAGTGGCGTAATACACGGCTCTTGTCCTTCTTCCGTTCCACATCCTTCCGGATACGCACCCAGCCAACAGCCCGATCCAATCGATTGTTCGTCGTACGCTCCAATTCCCACAAAGACAAACGCACACGTAATGGGATAGATCACAGCACCCAAATGCATCCAGATTTCCGCTCGTTTGGCAATGTCTTCATCGCGCCATCCGAATCGCGCCGTCAGTAAAAAGTAATACGACAACATGGCATTGTACAGTAGACCCGTAAAGGCAAAATTGAAAATGAATCCCATGAATGTGCACGTGCCACTCGTTCCAATCGACCACTGATTGTGGGCACTTGATGTAGTAGAAGGAGTCAAGAAGGCCATCCACGGAAACCAAAACGAAAAAACCAAGTCGCACAGGGACATGCCCACCAGTAATCGATGATAGACGGTCGTCTTGCGACCCTTTTGACGCCAGTGTTGGAACACCACATAGATGATGGTGGAGCTGCCGCCCAAACTCAATAGAGAGGGGACGATCGGCAACAACGCCAACACCGCCTCTTGACCATCTGTCAGTGGTGGCATACTATGGTACTGTATGATACTCCTACTAGTCTACTGCACTGTAATGTAATGAAGCAAGCAATGATCTAGTCAAGGAAGGAAACTACTGTCAGGCTGTCAGGGTCAAGCAAGCAAGGAAAGGCAACACAATGGAGTAGTTGGAGCAAGTAGTAAGTAAGTGATGAATGAGTGCGAGAGTGTTGAAACGCCACAAGCCTCACAGACGCGATATTCAAGAGCATGCAGCGGAGCATGCAGCAGCGAGCAACAGACGCTCGGTGATGTCCATCTTGCCCAACATTGCACGGAGATTCGGTAAGCACCAAAAGGATTAAAATATTCTGAACAATATTGGTTTACCGCATCTACGTTGTTTGTTCTTTCGAATTCATCAGCGAGTTGTCGGCAATTAATTGTAAACTAGTCTTGTGAACCCTTCACGAAGAGTTTCACTTTATGACATTCAGTCCCTTACCAGCATCTCTAATACTTAAGAGACGGTTCGCGGAAGAACTGGAGGCGGTCGCGCGTTTTTGGCTCGTGCTGGCGTCTTTTCACTTTTCGAATTGGCGCGAAGTTGGCTGCAGCGGCAACAACAACAACCGAACAGATCGATCGATCGATCGATCTTCCACCATGACGATGCTTTGGAGGCCGATACCGAACGAAACGACGCTTCTAAAATACAGGTAAGGTCTCTACAATTAGTCTATATTACCACTACCGATGCAGCAACAAGCGCAAGCTTCAAAGGCGGCGTAGTCATCGAGGAATGGTTGTTGTTGTAGTAGCAGGATTTCGCTCCGCCGCACCCTCCGCGAGGTCAACAACAGGAAGGAGATTGAGCGCCACAGCTGCGGCGTTGCTTAGAAAACACTATGTGGGTGCAACACTGCCGCTGCGGCCTCCAAACTCGCTCTGGTTGCAGCTTCTCTCTACTGTACGAGTCTGGTGGCTATTTAATAGCTAGCTAGTGTCGAGCGACGTCCTTTCGGCCTTTTTCTGCGAGGTCAACCAAAGAGATAAAGTGACCCTTTGAGCTTGTTTTGGCTTGGGTACACTACTATTTCTTCGATTGTTGCTTCAGGGGTCACTTTATTGCTTTGGATCACCTTCGTTTCGTGGGATTGGTGATACACGTTTTATGAGCCCCCAGCCTCTACTCGGTGCGCACACCGTCTCTTAAGCTCATGTGAACCCTTTCTTATTGGAGAACAAGGTCCTATTTTGAAGGATTTAGTACTCTTGGATCTTTGGGGAGAAGGTAAATACCAGAAAATTCCGAGTGCCTTCATCGTATATCCTTTCTTTCATGTGCTTTATTGCTTTACCTGTCTAAGGCATTAAAAGGACTACACCTCCACCGACTGACAACAATTTCGAAGCGTGGTTCGCACGTAAAAAGGGAACAGGTACTTATTGCAGTAGATACCCCCAGCGGAGTTACCTGGTATGCATGCTACCAGTACCGAGTACACACGTTCACACGTACGTTCACACGTGAGCAAGTCCATTTACGCTGTTGTCCTTCAATCAGACCGTTGACAGCCAGATGCAACAGCATCACTTTTTATAGAAACTTTCCCTTCTGCACCGTAGATTATCCAACATTATAATAGTTTAACCCCAGGTTTAACGTCTGAATAGAGATAAGGGTTTTCAGAGCATGGAGCCAGCAATGACACTCGGGTGGAAGCAGCGACGAGCACCTCTTGTGGCAAGCCCAGCAGCCCAGCGGTACAGTACATGAACGTATTGATAGCTATGATAATGCAGAGGAGCCGCGCACCTCCGTTTCTTCTTCCCATGGAGCACCGCGTCCTGCAGACTTGACTATCATAGAAACCAATTTGAATAATCAATCGTAGTATGGGTAAGAGAGAGAAAACAACTGCCATCATGCTCCGCGCTCATACCATCCATTGCGGAGGGAGGAGCTCATTGCTCACAGAGAGCTGAGTGTTGGATAATCTCGAGAAAACAAACGACCATGCCGCGGCTAGAGGTCAAGTCCAATGTGGAAAACGCAAATGACGACAAGGAACTGTTGGAGTTGTGGCAACTGCGCGAAATGTCGCCCTTGCACACCTTGGTCATTTCCGGAGCACCGTTGGAAATGATTCGTCTCGTCTTGAACGCTGATCCAAAAGCCATGAATGAAGACATCTTTCGAGATGCCTGTCGGTGGACGGCCAAACCCGAGGTCATTGACTTTCTCAAGAAACAAGTAGAACCCAGTATGAAACTCCAACAAAATCCCAAAGCCATGGCGGCACTCATGTTTGAGTTGTTTGAAAAACCGTGGGGGCGACAAAAGCAATACCAGGAGTCCTTTCGAGTTTTGTTTACGCGATTCCCCGAAGCCCTGCTGTGGTCACGACCATCGGATGGATATTCCCCCTTTCGCTGTGCCCTCGAGGAACCTCGACTCGCCGATGAAACCAAATGCCTCATGATTGCCTATCTCCCCGTCACCACCACGGCCATTAGCATTCCCGACAACTCGTTCAACTTGAGGTCTGCCGTAGTGTCCAAGCTACAGGAAATGAAGAACCTTCGGCATTTGTCCATTTGCTCACAGGATGAAGCGAGTAGTGAATTGGTGGAAGCCATTGGCGCCAAACTAGCGACCGGACAGCTCGAGTCACTCACCATTCAGTTGGAAGATGCCAAGTCGCAATCCTATCTGATGCCTATTTTTGATTGCATGGAAGAAGCTGGAAATAGAACGGCCCTGGAAAAGTTGAATATCTTGATCGACATGGACTTTGCATTGCTGTACCAAGATCGAATGCTGGAAATATTGCAGTGGAATACCACGCTCAAAGTGGCACGCATTGGGTGGCAAGTCAAAATGGCATGGGATGAGGGATACACTCTTCCCACAAGGAACAAACAGGAAATGATCAACTACTACACGGCACTCAACTATGGCAGAGATCTGTTGCACGATCCACAAGAGGCAATGATGAACCTGATGGATATGATGATTGAGGTGGCGGATGTCCGAGTCCCGCAAAGGCCGGACTTTGATTTTAGTTGTGGCGACTCTCTTTGTGCGACCAAGGCAACCAGGGGATAAAACAAAAAAGTGGAGTGAGGTTGTTTGTGCGTGGAACGAACATGCCAAAGTCTCCACGCAACAGCATCTTCCCGGAGCCCACATACTTACTTGCTGTGCGTGGATTGATTGCTGTTCATGGGGAACTATCTGTTCACTTGGATGTCCTTGTTTGTTTGTTTGTTAGTTCGGTGGGGCTCGATCTCTCTTTATGATATCTTTCATATGGAAGCATCAAATCGCATGCCTCGGAGGAGTCAGTTGGATGGATGCTTGCAAGCAAAACCGTTAGTTTAGGCATAGATGTAATGGTGGATTACTCGTGTGCGTTCTCTGCGTAGATCAGGAGGCCCCGCAGTGAAGGCTTAACGTGCTCTATGTCATTGCTATAGTACCGTTAGTATCCCGTGGCAAAACTTTATCCTGCTAGTGCTACTAGCTAGATAGCTCATGCAAACAGCATCTTATTTCAAAATTACTCTCCTTCATCGAAAGGTCAGCGCAAGCATAGTACGAGCCAAAGAGCAGTCAGGACAACTCCACAACTCCACAGCGCCAGGAACCTCCCAACATGATTTTGATCGAACTGGTCGCGTCGCAAAGCCCGCCCATCTCTCCCTCCCTAGTAGCGGATCTGTGCAGTGTTTGGGATCCATCAGCCAGTCAGGTGCAAATCACCCATTTCTGGTCCCAATCCTAGCACTACGGTATCAATCAGGCAGGAACATCGAGAGATACCCACTCTCTGTACTTACGTCATAGATACTACTAGGAACCACTGCACTGCCCATGTCATCCGCAGGGTGGAAGCTGAGGTGTTGGACAGGAGTTGAGGAAGGCTCCCCTGCTTGGTGATTGAATTTGGGGCAAACCCCAAGAGTGAGATTGTGGATTTTAGTTACAGTAAATTCTTGAATGATTGGCTACATATGTTATGTGCTATTTAGGTAGTCAAGTTACGAAAAGTGATCAGTCCAAGCAAATGCTTTGATCCAGGGAATGGGAGGCTTTGCGTTTCCGATTTGGTGGACTTTTGGCAGAGGGCTTTTTGTTCTTATTAGTGTCTTCATCCAAAGCTTGATCACTCCATTTGCCGGGTGCCTCCCGCAATAGCCCATTGAGAGCCCTTACAGTTGTTAGGTCTTTGTTATGCTTGCGATGCATCACACTCCCGTCACGGAAGTGAATGTCTCTATAGCATGATGCTGTCACCTTGTCCAGCAGATCCACAATAGCTCGCAGTGTCGTGTTTGGGTCTCGCATCACACCCCTGCCGTGCGCGTTCATTCTTGTGTAATCGTCAATCAATGCCTTGTCATTCAATGCCTTCGTATGCTTCCAACTTGTGTTGCCAAAATCAAAAACCTTCCCAATGGTGACACCAGTCAGAGATGTATTCCACTCTAAGATCTCAATCATTCGATCTCGGTACCCTTCCACAAGATGAAAACAGTCGGGCAGCGAAAAATGTTTCAGCCCAGAAGCAGCAATAACATCTAGAATTGGCAGAAAGAACCCACTCTGTTGGTCTTTCCCTCCACTGTCTCCCCCTGACTCTTCATATATGTTGTCCTCAAATCCGCTGCTGTTGATTCTGAGGGTCTCCAATGGCCCAGATGATATGGAGTGACAAATTGCTTCCACCAGAATTTGATCGGATTCATCTCCCAACTCAATTGGCAATTCCAATCCTTTGAGATTTTTGAGTTCTTTCAACTTTGCCGCCAACAAAGATCTGCACTCTGTTTTCGATTCAGCTTCCCGAATTCTATCCAAGCTTCCAATTTCGATGAACTCGACATCCCCTGGAATGTGCCGTATCATGTCACACAGGACATCATCATGGAGATGACCCCCCCAATATCCTTCATTATCGGTAAAGACGGCATGAAAAGGGCCAGAAACTTCACCTGAGAGCTCATTGTAGTATGCGGCTTCTGGAAATATTGTGAAGAGGGCCACAAAACCGTCAGCATCAAAGTTGCGCTTGTTTTCCAAAAGATCCACCATGATTTGTGCAATTTTTGCGGGTGCATACACACTAGGTTCTACTACGAGCTCCTTGAGAAATTCAATAACATCAGAGTTTGGGCTATGCCGACATGCATCCAGGAAGACATCATCGTTCATGGCAGATGGATCTGCCTGATAGACCAACTGGATCATCTTTAGTGGCGCATCCGACACAACCAAGGTCTGCAAAGCAGAGAGGGCTTGGATCTCAAACAGATAAACATAATTATCCGATGCACCATCGCTACCATCGTAGTTGAAGTGAATTGGCAACGTTGGCATGTTGTTGAACTCCCTTTGCAGTGGTTGCTGGCGAGATATCTGAAGCAAATTTATACTAAGTAGATACGTTAAGGAGCGAGGGGGGCTAAGCTACTACATGTAGGCAGAGCATGCAGTGGCTGCGGTGGTGGGTCGTATCTTGGTTGTGTTTCAACTCTGCGTAGACTTCCAACAACAAAAATAATACTACTGTCTGTCCAATTTCTGCAAAGTCTCTGGCTAGCTAGTGTGAGATTGCGACACGAGATGAGGATTTAAAATCATAATAGTTACAGAAATTCTTGATTGGCTAAATCTATGTGCTACTACTAGCTAGCCAGCTAGCTAGCTAGATACATAAATAAATATAGTCACGTTACAAAGGAGAGCAGGGAATTGGAGAGTTTTGGTCTCCAATTTGGCCCACTTTTGGCAGAGGGCTTCTTTTTCTTATTAATGGCTTCATCCAAAGCTTGATCACTCCTATTTGCCAGGTGCCTCCCTCAAGAGCCCATTGAGAGTTTGAACAGTCTGCAAGCCTGTCTCTCCCAATGCCACCACTTTCCTCCGGTTCTTGTTGCCTCTACTGATGGTCTCCTTGGTGCTGAAGCTCATGCACTCGCCAAATGCCTCTCCTCTCTGCTCTCTGCAAAGTGGTCCCACCCTTACTTGGTGGTGCTAGGTGGCTACGTCGATACTTGGCCTAGCCATTGTTCAGACCCGCCACCTCTTATGTGCGTCTCATGTGTACTTGCAGGCACATTGGTAGGCAAGCCTTGGAACACACTTTTAGCCAGCTTGATATGCAGCTGGATGGCTTCTAGAAGGCAGGGTCGAGTCTACATGATGAGTGCTATTAGCTAGCTTGCCACATCTGACATTATTAGTTATATCGCATTCCTTGAATGCAGGATCTCTGAAGCTTTAATTTGGCCAGTGCGTTGCGGTACGTTGCGGTACACTGCTTTGTGGTGCAACAAAAATTGTCTGCAAAATACTAAAAGACTGTGGACTGATAACTCAGAAGTAATGCTTTACAATACTACTGAAAGTGTTCCGGAGAAGTTTTCGAGAGCAGCGTTCGATTGGAAGCTCGCAGGAGCCGGCTTCGACGGTGCGTGCTTGCAGCTGTGCTTGCGCACTGCTCTCTGCTCACTGCTCACCTTCAGTCTCTCAGTCTCTCAGTTCCCAGTTGCAAGGCCAGGGACGCACTGCGTTCGGAACACCGTCGCATCTTCTATTATTAATTAATACAGTAGTTGGAAAAAATGAGATGCTTTTTAAAGTCACGAAAATTTGACTTATTAACCCTCTTTCCCGCGTAGAAAAGCAGTCATAATCTCGTTAAGTCTGACGAGAATCTCAGTGCCGGCACATCTGAAAACACCAATGCCCTTATGGTCAGATCGTGGTACCTGTATCATCGTAAAAATGAAGTAAATCTTCTCATCCGTGAATCATTTTTTGGAGTTAGTTGATCTCAACAACAGACAACCGAACATAAAGCTCCGCGTTGACAAAGCTTCGTGTTGACGAAGCTCGCTCCTCTCACTCTGAGATCTCTGAAAGCATCATGAAGGGCCCGTTGCTGACTATTACGTTGATTTCATTCTCATTATCAGGATCCCATGCTGACTCTGTTCGTCGATCCTTGAAGGGTTTGGTGTTCAACGGTGCTCCCGGCAAATGCGTTGGTAGAGGCTGCGCCCATGATCAGGAGACAACAGAAGCAACCTTGGTGGGACACCTGACAGAAAATAACACAGTTGTCCTTGATGTGACTCCTCCTCCTTCTGATCTTCCGGCATCTGCAGAAACGACTGCGGGGGTATCCAATCCACCTCCTTCCTCTCCCACCGATAACGAGGAAGAATTCAGACAGGAAGAAGAGAAAGAATTGAAGAAGGCAGAAAATGAGGGCATTCTTGCTGCTCTGCTGGGAAGTTTCCTGGGAAGTTTCACAGCTGTGGCCATCTTTATGGCTCTGGCATATCGCATGATGCTCAAGAAATGGGAAACTGTGCACATCACCGACAAGCATACTAGTATTGAAGTAGACGTGGATACTGTGGATTTCAGCACGTCCCAAGGTTTCAAAGAAGACATGGCCGATGTTACCCTCGAGCAAACTACTACCCATTCAATGTCAAGCAATCGCTTGGTCACAACAACAACATGTTGGGATGAATACATGGACAGCTCCTTTTCCTCCAATTCTGCTAATCGATACTCATTTGTGGGCAACCCTACCGAAGTAGACGTGGACGAGGAACCGGAGAGCGACGAACAGTTGTCCGCATGGAGTGAAGGGCGACTGCCCAAGAAACAACATGAGGGAGGCAAATGTTTTGTCATTGTCTAGCAGGAGCTTCGTATGACTCTAGTATTCACAAGGGGGCCGAGTCATGGGTTATTCACTTATCCCTTTGTTGTATCAGGACAAGATGGAACAGTACCAGAACCGTCACAAACGCTGAGGAAGATGTCAAACGACAACGTTACATATACTCAGATACATTTGCATAATCATTCCATATTCTAATCTTCGCACAATCAGGTACTTGTATTCAGCGACTAGTCTAATAGGTGGCTTTGAGTGCTTGTGTGGATCCTACAGTGTAGGCACTTGGTCAAGCATGCTTGGATGGGTAGCTCTTCACAATCATCGCTCCCTCGTCCTCGAGGACGTTCGGATAGGCGTAGTCATTTCGAGTCAACTGCAATGTTCAGTAGGAGATCGCAGCAATGTCCAGGTCGTTCATGGCAATAACGTCGGAAATACACGCTTCCATGGCCTGCTGGTTGCCAGCTCTATGAAAACGGGAACACGCCTCTTCCGCATCCCTGAGACCGATGCCTTCTCCAAGGCGACGTGTCATCTTGACACCCTGGGCGGGGAGCACACAAACTGTATGGTGGTGGGTAAGGCGATCGATAAGCTGGGGTTCACTGCAAAAATACAGTTATTAAAAGAACCAACAACATAACGAGGGTTTGGTAAGGAACTTGAGAAACACAGCTGCAACGGACGATCACGACAACGTCATTCCGATTTACCTGCTTTGAACCATCCACTCCTGGGCAAAATCATTTGGATCATGAAGCACCGTAGATCCATCGCGTGCCAACATCTCACCGGTTGGAAAAGACCCCATCAATCCAGTACTGTTTGCAAACCACCTGCCGGTAACATTGTCTTCTCCTCGGAGCACGTGAACTGAAACAATGTCCTTCAGAGTACTAATCGCGAGCGAAACGCGTCCAACTTGGATCATGAACGAGTGCCGCTTTTCATCGACAATCTGATGGGTCACTTCGAAGCCAGACAATGAAGCCTCTGTCAGGTCGGCTGCTGCGATCTTGTTTACCATGTACTGACCGAAGCTTGCAACTTCTAAGACATCATTTCCAATCTTAATTGCTGCGCTGGTGATGTAGCTATAAGCATAGCGGATCTTGGTGCGAATTTGAATATGCAGGCCATCATGAACACCACCAAAGTCTGGGGCGTTCAACATGACAAGGTCGCACTCGCCTAACGCATAGAAACAAAAGGTGAGCAGAAAGAAGAACTCCAAGCGAATCGAATCCCTGTGGTCGCTTCATACCATGGTAATCAAAGTAATTGCCGTCCCATTTTTGGATGTGAGGATCTCCGCAAACGCCGGACGCCTTGCCTGGGGCGAGTTGCAGCGAGTTATTTAGGACAGCTTGCATGACAAGTGCTTCGCAAGTTCCTGGCATGGACGCAAGGTCGCGGCCTTTTTTGTTGTTGAAGAGATCCATCGCCTTCTCAGCTTCACAATTAGGGTTGCATGATTCGTGAGTATCTCCGGCTATTTTGGCTTCAGCAGTCGACAGTGCTCGGGCCATCAAACAATTCCAGAGAGCATGGCGGTATGCGTCCTGCTGCCCGTTGTGGGGTCCTGGAAGCCCCGAGTTCTCCGCTGATGTCTGTGCTATGTAGCCAAGTGCAATCGCGGTGGCAGCATCCACTGGCCCAATACGAGCAGCCAACAAAGCTGCTTCCTGTGCTTTATTCAAGCATCTGCCGGATGAACTTTGGGCACAAGCTAAGAAGTCCTTCAGGTGTGCAAAAAGGAGGAGGAACGCGAAAAGCAGGCGAGACATCGTAGAGTTTTCGAGAACTCCAGCCTGAAGGCTTGTCTCTGTCAATCCCAGTAAATTATATTTAGAATACTCACTTTTTGCTGCAATTGATAAATAGATAGATGATTCAATCAAAAACTCAAGGAAAGCAAAAAATGAGACTGCCGCCAGTGCCTTGACCAAAACGGAAGGTCGCCTGTATGTGCGACCGAACCGAAGCGAACGATCTTTTCTTGCTCTGTCTCGTGAATGAATACTTTCGAGCCACGAATGGGGAGCTAAGTATTGGGCCAGGCAATTCAAGAACGATTGATCACTATTTTTATTAAAATAGCTTGCTGGCTAGCTAGCTAGCTAGCTAGCTAGTATGCAGAGTAATAAGAGTTCTGGTTCTGGCTAATACATGTAAATAATGTTAGCTACTAGTTAGGTAGGCAATTGAGCTTTGCTTGCATGCGAAGACGTTCGGCCGGAGCTAGCTATGCATAGCTACGAGCTAGCTGCTAGCTGCTAGCAGTGCTAATAAGTGGTTTGGGCTCAAGCTACGAGCTGTATAGCGAAAGCTTCAGCAATTGACTAGGTTTCCTGGACCATTGCCTTGGTGTGTACCGGTAGGAAGAGGAATGAAGAATGAGGAGGGCTTTGCTACGGGGGACCATTTTTTGATCCCTGGTGCTGCCTCTAGACGCGCTTTATCCCCCTCGAAAGTACTAGTATGATGATAGCTGTTGTGGTCGAGACCGAGGCAGCTTTGAATGATCAATCCCTTTTCGTCTGTTGGGGTGCAATGGCAACACATGGATACTACGGTAGGTACTATGCCAGGATCCAGGTATGGTAGCGGCTACATGTACAGTGGTAACAGTACAAACATTCGTAACCACTGTTTCTTTAAAGAACGTGGATGGATTCAGGGCATACATGATTGTGGGCCTGAGTCTGGAAAGATCGGAAGCAATACTATTCCTCTCTAGATGACGTAGCTAGCTTTTACGCTTTTACCAGTGTTGATGTCCTGTTAGGGGAGATTGGATGATTGATTTGCATCGCTTGCTTTCTCACGCAAACACCCATGAGGACACAAAGGCCCTCGCATATTGGTTGACACGCTGCCCGGTCGGAAATGGTTGGTTTGGTGCAGTCCGAGCAAACCCACTACACAGGCTTTATGATCATCATACAAAACTTGACGAAACAAGCGACTGGAAATCCACTACTAGCTAGATAGAGAACAAGCAGCCGGAGGCTGATGCCCTCAACTGTCAAAAAGAGATTTGATTGGTCAAATCATTTACCGTGTTCAACTGGACACACTATTGATAGCAAGTCTCCATAGCCAGCCAGTACGGGCCCAGTGGTATCGGTACCCATGGGTCCAGAATACTGTGTCCAACAGAACACACAATATAAATCCCTATCCTTAACAAGGAAAATGTCCCTTATGTCTTTGGCAAAACCTCCACCGTGTTTATCTGGACACACTAGCGAGTCTGCATAGCCAGCCAGTACTGGTACCCATTCGTAGAAACTACTGTGTCCAACAGAACACACAAGATTAATCCCTATCCTTAACGAGCGACGAAAACAGCTGCAACAAACACACAAACACACACACACACACACACACACACATACAGCGATAAAAGTGTGAAAGACCCTCAGTCCGTTGAGGGCAATAGTCGAGGATACCAAACGACGGCAAACCAGAAACGACAGCAAGCGGTCGGCCGCGCCCTGGCTACCAGGTACTAGTCTAGTTGACATGACCCGCCAGCTGCCAGGTCGGAAATGGGTGGTTTGGTTCAGTCCGAGCAAACCTCGGGCATCATCCTACTATGAGGCTGTATGATGTTCATACAGGACGGCCAGCCGGAGGCTTATCCTCGGGAGGCAAAACTCGAAGAAACAAGAGACTGGAAATCCACTATTAGCAAGCTAGCTAGATAGTCGAGGATACCAAACGACGGCAAACCAGAAACAACCAAGGGACAGCAAGCAGTGGGCCATGCCCTAGCTAGTAGCTACAGTATTAGTACTAGCTAGTACTGTGTCTTGTAGCTAACGGTAGTTCGCATATCAGAACATAAAACGATTGGTACAGAAAGTACAGCGGGACCGCTGTACCGACGTCGGCCAACCGCTGCAGAGCCGCGGTACACTACCGCTGTAGAGGCTGTAGAGGAGATTAGCCAATCAGATGATGTCAGTCGGCTGACGTCAGTCGTGTTTCGCATTTCGGTCGTGTGTCGCATTTCGGATTTCTCTGTGTCAGCTGGATCAGTCTCTCGTGGTGTTGTTTTCGTGTTGTTTTCGAAAGACCGACCGAGCATGCATCCAGAGGATTACCGACGGTCCAGAGGATTTCGATTTGAGCGAGATAGTGAAGCAAGACAATAAAACCGAGGTCATCCCGTCCGTATTCAGTAGCCGCAGAGGTACTTCGCAGAGGTGTACTTACCGCATTCAGTAGCCGCAGATTCGGTAGCCACAGAGGTACTTCGCAGAGGTACTCACCGCAGCCGAGGATATAGCCGCTTTCACCAAAGACGATGAGTGCGAGTACGAAAGAGGGGCCGGCTGGTATCGACCACTACATCCGGGACCTGTACTCCAGTGGACGGTTCCCCAAGGTGGACGACAACGGCATGGTGTTCTTGGCGGCTGTTGGCAAGATACACGGACAATGTTGCCATGCTCGCTGCTGAATCATTCGATCGAATGCACTTCAACATGATGCGGCAGGGCAACGCTGGTCTCAGGGGTAGGCTGAAGCCCCATCATGCCAAAGCTTTGCTCAGAGACAAGGGTCAGCTTGTTCAGATGGCCAGGATCAATGAACATGCCGCTGGCAAGAGAAAGGCTGCTCCAAAGCAAGGTGGTCTGACCAAAGCCAAGCTGTTGGACCCACTCACAAGCTTCGCAGACATGAAGGGTTGGGCCAGGGTCCTGGGAAAGCCCATCCCAAAGACAAAGCCGAAGATGCAGGAGACTCTGCTGCAGTGCTTTGAGGGCAAGCCAGAAGACCATGTGTTCCACTCCCACTAGCTAGCTAGCTTGGTGGTTGGGCCCCAAGGGGCCCAATCTTTATGGTTCAGAGCCCCCTGCGGGGGCTCAACCTTTATAGTACTAGCTTAAAAAAATTTCAGCTAGTACTGTGTCTCCACAGCCGATGCGACCATCCGAATGATGGATGACGAATGATGAATCGAATCTGATTCGATTGAATTGAATCGAATCAGTCTGCAAATTAACCGTACACTGTACGGTACGTCAGCGCAGAGAAACATCGACTGGCTTGCGCTCAGGAATCGCCCATCCTTCCACCGCGAAATTTGTCAATCTCAAACTGAGACTGATACGGGTACAATCCTCCAGCCGAGAGTGCCTCTTCGAATAGAAAGGAAAGGAATAAAGGTCCTTGATCTCTCGACGGTTCTTTAGAAAAATGTTGACCTCTGCCTTTCATAATATTGCGATTCCAGCCAGATACATGTAGCAATCATTGTGCCGGTAGCATTGCTTGTGGATGCCTCTTTGGCTGCCTGCCTGCTGCGTTGGGTTGTTGCCATGACACCGCCAAAAGTTGCTTGTTGGCTGTCAACCCCTCACGTAACGCAACCTCCCATCTCTCACAATTTAGGTTTTACTCAGGAGATGCACTGTACTACCGGTACTACCTGTATTAGTTAGTATATAATACTTCCGTAGAACGCAAAAAACTTGAAAGTATCCGAAGTTCAGAAGACCACATTACCACATGGACGATTTCGAATCAAGCGCCCTGTCAATTAGAGCAGTCAAGTCGAACAAGGCTCGAGCATAAAAGACCTCGGCATCCGGCGGTACTGGGACGTGATATTGGTCTGGATGCTTGAAGGATCACAAAGCACAAAGCACAAAGAGAATCACAAGCAAACGATTAAATTTTGTCAACACACACAAAGAATCTAACGAGATTAGAGACTGCTTGGAATGCTGGAATGACGCACAGATCCAGACAGAGTGGATTGACTGTCCAGACAGCCGACAGACAGCCAAAAGCAATGGTCAGATAGTCTAGCTGGTCCGATTCGATTCCATTCTGATTTGGGTTGAGCTTGCTACAATGTCATGTACTGAGTAGATCTAGCTTGACTTTGGAAACTTAAAAACTGTACTTCAGGCACTTGCAATAAATCAATTCAGCCAGCTTTCAGCCTCACACGCCTCATCAACAATGAGAGCCCAATACCCAAAACCTCGGTTCAGAGCAGCTGTACTGTCCAACATTCATTACCGCCAACCAAGTTTCTACAAACAACGTTTGTTTTCCAATACCGCCGCCAACACGCCCATCTGGCACTCGTCAATCTTCTCGTTCGGGAATCAAAATGGAGTTAGGGGTGGCTTTCCGAGCCTGTCGCAATCCAGTACCGCCAGTAAAAATGCTTCACTACTGGCCGCACCAAGTTTGTCCACTTTCTGTTTTTCTGAACCTCGTTGCTGTTCGAACCATTCAAATGCTTCCGCGGCGTTAAGACACATTATAATGTTACAGCGCTCCTGGATTTGACAATAATGCCAAGTCAAGCACAGCATTGAGGTTTATGTGCAAGGCTGAATTTTTACACTGGGATTGTTTAGTTCAAATTACAGGAGGTTTTTTTAAAGTGCTCTTCCCTTGCATCTCAAAAAGGTGATTCTAAGTGTGATGGCAGGAGTACACCGAATAGATAGACAGCTCCGAAACACGAACCGCTAATTTATAAAGGTGCGAAACGAAGGCCGCCATCTCTAAAGAAAATGCGAGGACAGTCTCTGAACTGGCAGTTTTAGGCGAATGAATGAGCGGCAATCAAGCACTGAAGACGGTCGGTGTTTGTTTGCAAGTCTCGGAGCAAATCAAGCCCAAGGAAGACCCGAGACCAGAGAGCTGACCAGAGTCACTAGAGAGCTCAAAATCCAAGTTTGTTGACACTCCAGATCTCGTAGCACATAGCACATCCACCATGAGCCACAGCAAGAGCAACGGAACGCCCCATGGCGTCCTCCATGATGAGGTGGACGTGGATGAAATGATAGTGGGCAACGTAAGTGACAGTCCTCTTCGAACGCTCCGTTGCCCGAACAACTTGAGCAGCAGTGCCATGTCGAGTGTATCCTTTCGGCATTCGCAACTGTCCGTCATGAGTCATGATGTCCAAGACATTCTAGAAGAAGACGAAGATGATGATGTCGAAGAAGGCACTGCTACTGTCCAGAAGCAGCCCAAAGATCTTCAGTCAGTCTGCAGCAAAGGCACCGCCCTGACAGCCAGCACCTTGGCGTCTGGTGGCTCGGCATTTGCCCGTGTCGAAAAGGGCGGATCCTTGCCTTCGTCTTCCACTGCCAGTCGATGGTTCCCCTTTCGCAATCCGTTTGCTGCCAACACAAGGGCTCAAGCCGGTGCCGCCAAACGAGCTCAAGCGCACAAGCACACTCGTCAATCCTTTCACCTCAATACGCTCAATACGCTCAACGAAGGAGAGGAAGCGACCGAAATCACGGATGAAAGCGGAACAGTGCGGACCCTGGAATCGTCCAGACTCGGTCGTGGTGGAGCCAACCAGTCGCTCTTGAAGAGAGGCTGGTGTCGCTGTCTCTTGGCAGCCGTCTTGTGCTTTCTGTCAGCTTATCATTGCCCTTGTCGTTGTGTACTTTACCGGACAAATGGACAGCTTCCTCCCATCGCCCACCACCAAAGATCAGGCAAGACGGTCTCTTACACCCATTCAAGTAGAAACAAGAATCCGAGAGTCCTTGCCCTCCTACTCGCTTGTGGCCCTGCAAGATCCCAACAGTCCGCAAGCCCATGCCATGTCGTGGATGCGAACCCATCCGTCACTTCTAGACGGTATGGACGACTATCCTGAATGGCGCATCCTTCAAGTCTTTGCCATGGCCACCTTTTATCATGCCTTTCAAGGTGATTCATGGCCCAAGCGCCAAAAGAAGGATTGGCTCTCCTACGACGTGCAGGAGTGCAACTGGGGCGATGAAGGTGTGGCAGTGGTGAATCCACAAACATTGACTATGTTACTGGGGCGCACGCATGTCACGACGACGACGACGAGTCAAAGCAAGGAGGTCGACTCAAGGACCTCAATCTCGATTGGTTGGTCGGATACGGTGCCCCCACCAACATTGTCCCCATTACGGCGTTCGACGACATGGCTTTGCCACGTGAGATGGAGTTCCTCACCGAGCTCGAGACATTGGGCATTTTGAATTGCGGTGTCTCCGCCGATCTCTCCGACATGCTTCCCACACAACTCCTACAGCTCACCAACCTGCGACGATTGTCTCTTGGAGACAATAACTTTCGAGGCAGCATACCAACCCATGTTGGTGCCATGACATCCCTCCAACACTTGAGCTTTGGAAACAACCTTCTGACTGGGAACATCCCATCATCACTGGGTTTGCTCTCCACCAACTTGCAAGAACTCATGCTGTTTGGCAATGGACTCTCCTCCACGCTGCCCACAGAGCTGGCCAATCTGGCACAGCTGACGGGCCTTTCCGTCATTGGCAATGACATTACCGGCACCATTCCCAGTCAACTGGCGAGTCTGTCGCAGTTGGAATGGTTGTACCTGGAAAACAACAGTGGCATTGTGGGATCCGTTCCTTCCGTCATTTGCGAATTGCCGTTTCTTTCATCCGTCTTGGTGGATTGCACCGTCGATTGTGGCACTTGTGCCCAAGACGTGTGTGAATGTCTTCAAGAATAAACAGATAGACCAGTTGTCTGTTCCGTCAATTGATTGGTACTGCCGTCTGTACCGAAGGGATCGACTGCTTTCCGAGCCCTTCTATACCCGATTCCGATTCTCCTTTTCATTTTCTTCAACATTCTATATCCATGTAATCTATATTTAAAAAGCTTCAAACACCTATACTGCAGTCCAATGATCTCGGAACTATTGGTTGGTGGTATCTACCATACATGACTCAAGCTACATGTAGTTAGGTTGACAAAGTCCATGTGACAGAAAGCACCTGAGTACGTACTGCCGTGAATTTGTCCTTTTCCGATGGTGTGCGCTTCTCTCAGAGCTCCTTTCGGGCTACTACTGGTAGACCACGCCTGTAGATCTAGCGTTGACTGGTTGAACACCATTGGCTGTAGTGCAGCTTATGGACAAACAAAGAACTTGTCTAGCTAGCCAGCCAGCTAGGTTTGTACTGTTCTCTGTCTGTGTTGCTAGCTCTTAGTCAAGAAGGATCAATCAGGGCATCGATTTGGAATCAAATCGAATCGAGAATACTATGCCTGTCTAGCTCTTTTTCTGCCCGCCGCCCTCTTTCTTGTCATCTATGGCTGTCAGCGGCGAATTGAGTCTCACCTCAATGTTCTTACCCCTCGTGCGGACATCAAACACAGCCGCACTGTTGGCATTTTTGACGGTCGACATCATTTTCCCGAGGACGGGCGGGTAAGGACACCATTCTCCTCTGACTTGGCCCGATTGCAATGCAAATGCCGTCTTGTGGAGTGGACATACAATGCAGTCTTCGCATCCATCCGAGCTGAGCATGGCAGTCACATCAGTCTCTTGGAGCGGAAGCGCCGAATTGCTAGTGAAACCACCAGCTTCCTTGTCCAGTTCAATTGGCCGTCGATCGAGGAATCCCGTTTCCAATGGTGTTCCTAAATGAGGGCACGAGTTGACCATGCAGTAAATGTTCTGTGCGTCTTTGGACGCCACGATAATCAAATCCAAGCCAGCCACTTCGACCGGGACTATTTCGCCCGGACTGAGCCTGGTTTTGGGGAATACGGGCACCCATTGCTCCTTCTTGTTGTTGTCTGACAATAAGTTGGAAACAAACTTTTGTGCCACACTCCGAGGTGCACGACTTCGGCTGCTTTTGGTTTTGTTTCCAGTTTTGGCATCATTATCATCATTGTCGCTGCTGGAGAATATCCGTTGGAATCGACCTCCCAACGATTCAGAGTCGTCTGTATCCCCATTCTCTTTGTTTCCCTCGTCATCCTTTGATTTGCTTCTGGGTGATATTCGACGGGTTTTGTTGGGCTTTGGGGGAGTTGTTGTTTTCTTGGGAGAAGGAGGAGCCGACTTCTTTGCAGATTGAGTTGAAACTTTCCTAGTGCTTCCTGTTGGTGGGAGCGTTGGCGGGGATAGCGACTTGATTGGTTTCTTTTTGGGTTGTTGTTGTGACCTGGATACGACGACTGGCATGGTCCGTGACCCTGGTTTTGGTGTCCTGACGTCTTGCGCCTTGGACCGTTGAAAGGTGACAAATGTCGGTCTGGTATCAATATCCAGGTAATCCAGGTCAATTGTTGTAGTTTCCTCAGGTTCTGGAGTTGTTGTCTCATTTCCTGCATTGAACCGCTTGGATATTGCCCTGAAGATGCCTCCTCCTTCTTCTTTGTCCTTTTGTCGTTTATCTTTGTCGCTCTTCTTATCCTTGTCTTTTCCTCCCAAGAAACGAAACAATCCTTTCTCGTCGTCCTTGCCCTTTGATTCTTTCTTCTTGTCGCTTTCATCATCCTCCTCTTTGCTGGACCAAAACTGAAGATTTCTTAGAAAGCCACCGCCTTTGTCATTGTCTTTGCCGTCGTTTTCATCATCCTCTCCTTGGTCCTTTTTTTGGGCCAACAAGTGAGTGTTTCTGGTGACTGTTGCTGCAGGTTGAAATTGATGCGACCATATTTGGAGTGATTGAGGGGCTGGTTTCTGGTGCCGTTGGTTTGGTAGGAATTGGTGTGGTAGAAAGCCAAGCCCAGGGGACGGATCCCACAGCATCAAGCCGAGAATCACGGATAATGGTTGTATTCTCATGGACCGTCGTTTCATGGTTGCTGAAGTAAGCTAGCGATCCCTTCAGACCAGTAGGAGCTGAAGATAAGCTGGGAGGAAATGAGTGTTTCTGGACCTGCCAGCGTTGGATGCTGACTTGGCAGTTTTGGACTTGGGTAAGAAGGTAAGACTGGTGTCAGTCACCTGTTGCTTTGGTGGCCTTGCAAGTGCTGGGATGTGCTCCCTTCTGAGCTGAGGTCAACTGAAGCCACAACAAACCGAGAAACACACAAGACACAGTGCCAAGTGTCAATAATCTGCTGGCATTTCCTGATGTTGTGTTGACACCACACGCAGATTCGTACCCTCGAGCCCAAACTAGAGCTAGCAAAGCCATAGCATGGTGATCTCTTCTTGCGCTTGGTGGCATAAATGATACCGGTTCGTACATTGATCACAAAGATACACGTCAAGAAGCGGCCGACTTTCAGACACAATGACGTCAGTCAAATATTCGATTAGAATCGAATCCAATCGAGTCGAGTTGAATAGATTCAGATATTATTTCCCACGGATCAAAAAGAAAAAAGCGTGTTTCGGTACCGGTACGGTTTTGTGCGGGGATGCTGTACAATCGTCGGTACGTTTGCTATTAACGGAAAATATCCAGAGCCCTTGTGATACCAGGTACCGGTAGCTGCTCTGCACCTGTACTCTACCTAGCTAGGGCCTGCACCGGTGTTGCCACACACCTCCGTGAAAAACGTCTGAACCTCCAGGGCTCGCACCTCGGCGTCAGAATTTTGCACCTCTTGGGCATGCACCTCGGCGGCAAATAATCTGCACCTCTAGAGTGAGCACCTCAAGAGCAACCTCTGCACCTCTATACACGCACCTCCGAGACAAAAATTCTGCACCTCTCAAGGGAGCGCTCCTCGGCGGCACAGTTCTGCACCTCTACTACTGCAATGCACAATGTTTGGTGACTGAGGCGAAGAGTTCGACCGAATCACATTCTGCCTTTAAGGAAATCATATATTATTTTGTTTGCCCATCCACCTCTTGAAGTGGGGTCACCAGTTCCAGCTACATTTCTTGAAGTATCAGTAGGAGAGGATGTTGAACTTCTGGTGAGACAATTGAGGCTCAAGAATCATTGAGTAATTTTAATTGTGGAGAAAGCGTCTGGAGTATGCATACCATTCAGATGACATTCCCTTTGGAAGATCTGCCATTGAAATGCAAGCCAGCAGCCTTGGATCTTCTGCAGATGTGTGGCGGGACTCCATTGACCTGGCTTGCTAGCGGTTGGGGTTCGCCAATTCATGTATGTTTGTTGCAGTCGAGCGAGTCGAGTCACAGCAAATATCACAGCAAGACAAAGGAAAAGAACAGGCCAAGTACCGGTATGCGGGATACGCAGCTAAAGAAGATCCCAAGCAAGCAACCGGAAGGACATCTCAAATCTCAAATACCCTCACACATCAGCCTATCTATCTATCTATTATCACCATGGGAGACGACGCCGTTGACGAAGACAAGATCATCTTGTGTTGCGCCCTCTGCTGCGCTAACTGTGGGCTTTACAATTCCTGCGATTGGTAGGTTTGTCGTGTCGCAATTGCTTTTTGGTGGTTCCGTTTCCTTCCCACATACCATTCTCACCAGTATGTTTCTTTCTTTGTCTGCTTCAGCGCTGGTTGCTCCGGGAAAGTGGGCGTTCTCTGCTTGAACTGCGAAGTGTGCTTGAAATTCGGTGCTCCTTGTCTCCCTTGCTGTTGCTGTGGACCTGTAAGTACCGTAGTAGTGACAATCAAGAACACATCATAACAGGAATGTCCAAATCCAAAAATTGAACACTGACCATGTCCTCTCTCTGTGTACTTTTAAAAAGAAATGCGAATGCGATGGATGCTCGGTGCTCAACGTCCAAGTTCACGGACTGTGCGGTGTTGTTTCGGCTGCCATTCCTTGCAACGAAGAAGTCCCTCTGGCTGTCAATGTCTTGGGATGCAATCTCTACCCCAAGTGCGGATGCTGTGTCACCATTGGAGAAATCAAGGCAGAGGGAATGTGCCGTTAATCGTTTAAAAAGACGAAACGAAAAACGACAAAAACAACAATTCATTGATCTACACAAAACATGACAACAAACAAACAATCTCCCCATTTCAAGCCTCCAAAATGGTTCCTCGAGCAGTCTTCTTCACGCCCTCCCAATCTGAAAGAATGAATGCCCCAGTTCAAGCGGTCAAGATGCAATTTTTACTAGCCAGTAGTCAATTGTTTGGTGAATCGAATCGGTGCATTTGGTTAAAATACGTGTAATGGAAACTCTTTGCCGTACTATACATCCTGATATCCTGATCATATCTATCTTTAGAACAAGTCACTCCAATCTATAGGACCGTGAGGAATTCGAACCGTCTGTCATTCGTCACAGCAGTGCAGCAAGCTACAGTTGGCAGGGATGCTGAGCAACCCTTCCTTCACCCTCGTACAAAGATGTTCCGGTATGGTTCCTGTAATGGGAGTATCGGAAAGATCCAAAAGCTGCAGATTGGTCAGTTGCCCAAACTCTGAGGGAATGGTGCCGTAGACATGGGGCAAACTGCTCATGTCGAGTCCTACCAATGCGGTTACAAGCCCCAATTCTGTAGCAATGGTTCCAACCGCATCCGAGTGACCCAGGCCCAAGTACTCCATCTGTTGGAGCATCCCGTATTGTGGCCATATTATGCCATCAAATGGTATCCCCGTGAAATTGTACACTTCCAAATCTCTTGGAAGAATATAGATCATGGCACCTCCATTATGGCCTCGTATCTTTGTGCCATCCAGCCGCAAGACTTTGAGGCTCTCAAAAACGCCACCTATGTGAGACATTCGTGCGGCTCCTTCAAAGTCATTGTTGGAAATCACAAATATTTCCAGATCGGGAGTGGCGGCAATAATGGGGAGCAATCCTTGAATGTGGTTGTGCCCCAGATCCAATATGCGGAGCCCAGGAATAAAGGCAGCATGCCAAATTGGGAAGGATCCAGTCAGGTTGTTGGAAGCCAAGCTCAGGTTGATAACGACTCTATTGTTGTTTGGTTCATCACCTTGTTGGTTTTTGTTGTCGTCACAAACATGGGGCTCGTAGTACTTGCTGATGCCTTCCTCGTAGGTGCTTTGGGAATACCACTCACATTCCGAAATGTCATAGCTCAACCAGTCATCGTTTCTAATCCAAGAATCACCATTGGTAGCATAGTACATGACTGCCAGAAAGAACCTCTGCAGTTGTCGTTGGGGGGTGTAAGTATCCAGGTGTGGGTCGTTCCACATCCAATTGTTGGCTCTACGAAAAGAGCTAGTCAAATCCTCCTCCATGGCAGTGGTCACCATTTGTGGAAGGCCGTCGATGAATGGTGGATAGTGCAGTGGAGCTGCAACAACAGTGCTACTGCTGGTCATCATACTCTCGCTGAGGTTGTCATCAGCTGATTCAGTAGTAGGCCCTAGCAGGAATACCAGCATTAGAACCAATGCTCCAATGGCGCATGTTGCCAAAAACCACAAAACAACTTTCTTTTCTTCCGTTTCCTCTTCTTCTTTTGGCGCAGGATTTTTTGTAAGAATAGTTCCTTCCAGAACTTCGTCTGTTTGTTCCAACCCATCATTCAAGTCGTTTGGTTGGATATTGTTGCTTTCCGCGTCATTATTCCGATAGAAATTGTCGTCATTGTCATCATGATCCGAGACAACATGAGCCTCGAGCACTTCAATTGGCTGGGATTCTGGGGCAGCACTTTGGCTCAATGCCGCTTGATTGGAAGTAGTAGTCATAATGATGTCGGATGATGGACTGGTAGTATAGAAGGGTCGGTGGGTGACAACGGCATGCGCTCCCGGTATCGACGAGGCTGCCGAACGTTGGCGTATTGGGGTTTCTGGCAGCTCCTGAATGTCTTGATGGAAGAATCCACTGCCATCGGTAGGCCCCATTCTTGATGGAAGCTTCATGTCGCTTTTACTGCTGGGATTAATGGTCCCCTTGCCTTTATCCGGTGGCGGTGCCATTGCTACATCTTTCGGATATTCTCCATGAGCTGTGGTAGTGGTGGCATTTGAGATATCGTCGACCAGGTCAGGCTCTCTGCTTTCCTTGGATTCACTTGCTGCAATGCAGCTGTCTCGACATTCAGCGTTTGGGTCCGCTCCCTTCTGTGCCTTGGCCTCTTCCGCCATCGTAAAGGATACAGGATAGAAGGATAGATGTGAGGGCGTCACCACATCAAGAGACAAGAGAAATTGAGGCTGCTAGCTACTGTAGCTTGGGGTTGGGTTGCTCAACTCTCGAAGGCCATGGCCACAATAACACATGGTGTCTTCATGGTGTGTGTGCCAAAATGGCACTGCGTTCCCCGTGATGTCGACCCCCGCTCTTCCAGTTTACGAGTCAATGTACAATGTGCACTGAAGGAAAAGACAAGACTTAAGAAAGCTCAAAAAGGAGGAGAAATAATGAGGACTGCAGTCGATCAAGTGACTATTTTAAAATACGATGTATTGTTGGTACGTTGGTTCTAGCTAGCTAGCTAGCTAGCTAGCTAGCTAGTAGTTGGTATCCGGTGAGTGAGAGTCGAGTCAGTAAGTTGACCGAGCTGTTGACCATGGACGGTCACGGTGGAGCTATCCGTGATGAACATGTCTATGGGCTGATATAGAAAAAAAAAATGCTTGGATTAGACTACTGTAGTCTAGTCTAGTCTAGATTGGCGACGAGGATCATTATTTATTTGACAACCAATTATAATTATAAGCAATAAGTCGGTGTGGAAAGAGTGTGCTGGAGCGTCCAGCAAGTGGCGTGATGTAAAAAATAGTTCCAAAGGCCAGCCATTGGAGCGAATTGGCTGGTATGGTGCCAACTACTCCAACTTCTAAATGGTTGTACCTGAGTCAGTAATGGGGTTATGGATATGGTTCTTATGTGTAGCAGTAGTCGTCTTACGTACTTGTTTTCAATTTCAATTCACCACCCCTTGACGGGGATCCATTCTTCGACAATGGCCGTTTCAGGTAGGAATCGACAGGACGGATCATCAATGACATAGTAGGTATCAAAACAGGCTGCGGCCAAACAGGAATGATTGGGCAACAAGGTGACCATGGATCCCAAGGGCAATTCCTCCAACAAGGATTTGTTACTACTATTGTTGTGTCGTCGTGCCATGCTCGCTTCTTGCGACATGCGATAGACATCGACATTTTCGACGGACGCAATGGCGGCCATGCCCCCTTGCGGAGTGGTTTCCTTGGTCAATGCCGTGGCACCGGCATCGAGGAGGACCGTTTGAGGACGATGGTCGTCGTCGTAATGTCCAATGACTCGAGACAAGACGCGTCCGGCAATGTGTTGTGGATCCGCACAGGCACTCGTATGGAGCTGTTGACGATCGTAGAGGGTGTAATTGCCAGGATGGATTTCGAATTGGAGTGTCGTGTGACGTTGTTGGAATGCTGGCCATTCATTACTATTGTTGTGATTCGTGGGATGATGAAACAAGGAGGGTGTGGATCCGACACTAATGATGCATTTGTCAAAGACTTGTTGTGGATTGATATTGTTGTTGTTATTGTTGTTGTTCCAATGCTGTTCCAGGTGCATGAGAAATTGTTGAATGGTGTTCATGTCCGTGTTGGCAATTTCTTGCAGTTTGGACTGGTCCTCGACATCGTAGGCATGTCCACTGTGACGCGAGCGTACAATAATAGAATATTCGTAAGACCAATCAAAGTTGCTCTCAAGTCAATATATACATATATAACTGGCCCACTTGCTTACGTACCAATGAGAATAGAATCCCACCAACCGGAGTGCCTTGGACTGCAAGATGGCAGTGACGAGTTGGATTCCTTGTTTGTCACAGGTGGTTCCTGCTCGATGGTATCCCGTGTCCAACTTGCAAAAGACGGAAAACGTGGCTGCTGGTGTAGATTGTTGTTCTTGTTTGGCCAGGAATTGCTCGACCATTTGTACCTGTTGGGGATGATCGATGAGTATATGAATGGGAATATGGTGATCTTTATTGGCCTTGTTTTGCTGCCTCGTGGTCCAATCATCCAATCGTTGTTGTAGGACAAACAGAGGTGGCAATTTGGTTTCACTAATGGGGATTCCATAAAGGATACTGCCGGCATTTTCGGTGGAATTGGTCGTGTAGTAATTCACCAACAATTTGACTTCGGGGATGGTAGACGCCACAAATCCATTCACGGCATGAGATGACGATTTGCCCGTCCCGTGGGCTTGCAAATGAATGCCTTCCAATGTCTTGTGTGTCTTGATGTGTGGTCGCAGTTTATAGGCAGTACTAGTAGCGCCACTACTAGTACTAGTAGAGCTAGTAGTATAAGTACAAAAATCCAAGACGCGTTGACAATTTCCCGCAAACGCATGACGATTGATCACAAACGCAGGAGTAGGAAGATCTTCCAAACTAAACGGAGCATCATCGTCGTTGGCACTGGTGCTCTTCAATGTGCCAGTAGTAGTAGTTGTTGTGCCATCACTGCCTTTCTGGGCACTCTTGTGGTTGATCGACAACAGACGCATCAACGACGGTCGAGCGTTCGACTCCAACAACAGTCTCTCGCGATCTCCTTCTTTGTCCATTTTGATACGGTAGTGTCTTTGCTTGACGTTCTTCTTTGCTGTGATACTATCTGGTTAGTCTAGCTAGTAGCCAATGTCTTTTATCGGAAGGTTTTGTGGGCTTGGTTCTCTCGATCTATCTTTCCATTGACCATTCATGAGGGCAGGTCACGTTTGCTGTGCAGTCTTCGGCTCGGATGTGACTTCCGGAATGCTTCGCTCTCAAAACAGCACAAAAAAGATAGACTACACGTACACTGTATGCAACGGTACTGCCAAGGAAAGTTACCCTAGCTAGTTAGATAGATTACCGTACGTAGCTTATTAACCAGTGCTCGGAATCCATACACAGACAAACATAATATACCGGTACGTAGAATAGACTACATGCACTGCGAAGCAAAGCTCCAATTTTAAAAGAAATTCACAACTGGTAAGTGCTTTTTCTGTGTGTGAGGTCCCGGAGTGGAGTGGAGTGGAGTCGAGTCCTAAGAGGGATGCATAGCAAGAGTACAGTAGTCTCTGGAGTTGGTCTGGTCTTGCAAATAGATGTGTTCTATAAAAAGGAGGGCCGGCAAGTTCAATGCGTTAGCACAGGTCGAAGAGTTAGCTAGCTATGTCGTATGTAGGGGTTGCAGGGGCAATCCACTAGAGATGTAGAATCTGGAGTGGTCTTGGTCCTGGAGGCATGTCCAGATGCTGGCCTGGCTACCTACCGTAGCTAACAAATATTAATGTTGGGGCCCGAAGTGTAGTCTGGAGACGGTGTTGGGCTCTGCCGCGGTGGACAACAGCCTTCCGAGATGACTGTCATTGTTCAGACGTGCATGCAATATCTTTATCACTCGCAGTAAAAGATATGGCTCTGTGTCCACCCACCGGTACGATTGATGCCTCTCGCTACAAATGATGTAAAACATCCTCCCCACAATCCATGCCACTCGCTGGAAAAGAGACAGATATTGTTCCACACGATTGATGCCACCCTCCTTGTGGATCCTTGTGGACTTGACATCTCGAGCTGTTTTCATTCAAACCATGAACGAACCTTGGAGTACCGTAAGCACCACCTTTGATCTACGATACGATACCAACTTGGCTGCTGCTAACAAGGTCGCAACGAACGATTGGAGTCGACTGGAATTCAGCTTTTGCGGATCAGATTGATGGATCGGACGAGCAACAGAGCGGAAGGGTGAATTCACAAATAAAATCGAGAAAGAAGACAAAGTAACAACACGCTCGTCAAAAAGCACACACAAAGAAACTCTCTGAATAATAACCACCTACTACCACCATGTTGATACCCAAAGTAATCTCCACAACCACCTCGTTGCATTTGTTGCAGTTGTTATGGCTAGCACCATCATTATCTATGGCATTTATCCCGACGGGGGATTGCAGCGACACGACGGGTACAAATGGCGGCCGTGTTGGGTATCACAGTCCAAGCCCCACCGACGTGTATCTTCCGGACTGTCAGAATCCTCTGCAACGAGAATTGTGGCGTGTCTTTTTGCAAGAAGATGGAACTGCCTATATGATACCCCGTCCCGATGGATTGGGTATTACCTATGGCCTTTGCAATAATGATGCCTTTGACCAAGAACTAATGGCCAAGGCACAGCAGTACGGATTGTGCGACGAAACCGTGACCGATCCAACTGTCATTAATAGTATGACTCCAGAAGATGCACTCCGATTCGCCAATGCATTTCATCGACAATTGCGATTTTCCATTTCGGACGACAATCAGATATATCCGTGGGCGCCAGATGAAGATATTCTCTTGGCGTGCGAAAACATTACATCCCAAGCGGCGCTGAGCCATTGCGAGGCTCTGGCCAATCGATGCAATGATGATACCGGAGAATGCATCGACATTGGAGTCATTCCTTCTGTCGAGGCCGTCCAAGAACTGGTTCCGGCTCTTAATGATCTCTATGGAGTATTGCAAGAAGGGGAAGCGTGCATCCCCAGTACCGTGTTTGGTCCTACCTTTGGATGTCCCGTGGCAGACTGTTTTGCCGAACAATCCGCTGGCTGTGAATATGATACCGCTGGTGCGCCCTTTTCCGTCAATGATTTAGGGGATTGTTGCCAACGACAGTGCTATGCGGTGGACAGTAACGGCAACGAATGCACCGGTAACAACAATCCACAGCAAGAGGGAAAAATTGGAGAATCGTGTGATCCGGCATCGTGGGGCACGGATCCCAACTTTTGTCCCGTGGCCAAATGTGCAGCACCTCCAGAAGGCTGCAACTATGTGTTTGACCATTATGTGGTCGACGGGGATGGCAATTGCTGTGCCAGTTTGTGTTATGCTGTGGATGCTGATGACAACGAATGCACCATATCATTGGAAGGAGACGAAGAAGAGGATACTAGCAGCAATGGCCGCGTTGGTTCTACCTGCAATGCCACCGAGACTGGCACGGACCCAAATCAATGTCCCGTGGCTGGTTGCACGGAAGCTCTCGAAGGATGTGACTATGTCATGGACCACTTTGTCATCAACATGGATGGACACTGTTGTCCCAGTTTGTGCTATGCAGTGGATGCCAATGGCAACGAATGCACTATATCATTGGAAGGAGAAGAAGATACTAGCAATGGCCTCATTGGTTCCACCTGTAATGCCACTGACACAGACCCAGTCCCATGTGCCGTGGCTCTTTGCGCGGAAGCTCCTGAGGGATGTGACTATGTCAACAACCACTTTGTCTTCAACATGGATGGACAATGTTGTCCCAGTTTGTGCTATGCTGTCGATGCCAATGGCAACGAATGTACCCATAGCAGCGGAGCGCGGATCGTCCATTCCTGGGTAGCAGCATTCTGGGTTGGTTTGTCTTTTGCTTTTCATTGCCTGGAATTGAGTTGAGAGATACATGTACCGTACGTAGGATGTGTAGGGCACCGTGCACAATAATGCTGGCTGCAAGGCAAACATGTACTGTAATTCATGGTTTCATGCTACAGATCAAGAACTTGGCTAGCATGGCTGCCATATGGTGGTCCTCAAGCTGGTGGACTCAAATCCAAGACCATTTCAAAGCAACACAACTGCCGGTGACTATCCAGTGACTAGCAATGGATTCAAGTTGTAGACGTACATGTACATGTAGTTCTTGTTTATATTTATGCCTACTAGTACGGTAGATACCTTGCGATGATGGCTGCAAGCTCCGCAAGAATGCTGCAATGATCACTGACCTGCACGCGCAAGAACCATGACGTGGGATAACCTTGCTGCGAGGCTACCGGCGGTGGATGTTCAATTCAATGAAGAGGTTACAGTACAATGGGTGTTTTAGAGTGCTGTAGCTAGCTAGTGCATGCATTCTTAAAAGCTTTCAAAGACAGATGTGGATTCAAGCTCATCAGACGCAGTCTGTACGTAGTTCTTGTTTTAGATATTCTTGTGATGGTGTGAGCCTCACGAGACAGCTGCGTCTAAATCGAATGTCACTGAATCTAAAACAAAATATCACTGCACGTGCAACTCGACATGGGACAAGCTTGCATGCGAGGCCACATCACCGTCTAGATAGAGGCCTACTATCCGATGGCCTACGGTAAGCCCATGGAGCAACGGCAAAGCCAATGGCAGTTAAAAGGAAATTAAGGAAAACCATAAACTTGCCCTACCGGTATGGAAATAATAGCTTGGTGGAAATAAATTCGTGGATGCTGGCCACTCCTTTTGGCTTTCTCGAACGGTGCTGAGTGCTTTTGTTCGGTGCTGATGATGTGGCGGGGGAGGTTGACAACCTTGCGTTGATCTTTTTAGTTGAAGAGTTGAAGCATCCAAAGATCAGTGATATTTCATTGGCTCCCAGCTTCGCGAATTTGAGCCTGATTTCCAAAAAGTGCACTAGTGAGGCACAAACACCCCCCTCGGCCTCGAACATGTTCTGGAGCACGCTTTGTTTGATTAATGCCCTAAGCTTGAAAGAATCCAAGCACGCTTTACCGTCGCTTCTTTTCCTCATAGGGCAATACTCCCTTGATGTCCACGGGGGCAATGGATCGAGTACGTCAGCATTCGTTTTCAATTAAGGGCACGAGAAAGTGGCTTCTCAAACC